CTGGGAGTCCCTGCACCCCAAAAATCCCAGACTGGGATGGCAGGGGAAGGTCTGGGGGTCCCTGCATCCTCCTCCACCCCAAAGGACCCCGGACAGAGGGGTCAGGGGTAGGTCAGTGGCAACCCCAGCATTCAGGGGGGGCCTTCCCCACCCTTTAAAGACCCCAGACTCCCAATATCCCTTTTTCCCCCCCAAAACCAGGACAGGGGTGGGCACCAGGGGTGGGCACTGGGGGTGGGCACTGGGGGGTCCTGTACCAGGAGTAGAAGAAGAAGACGAAGAAGGGCAGGGACACGGCGAGCTGGAGCTGCCGCCAGCGCGGGAGCACGAAGGCCACGGCCGCCAGCACGAACTGGCCCAGGGTGTAGCAGTAGCCATTGATGGTCCCCACCACGGCCCGCGCCTCCGTCGGGATCCACTCCATGCCTGCGGCACCACCGCGGGGTCAGGGGCTGTCCCAGGGGGCCCTGGGGTGGGCTTGGGGGTTGGGTTCCTCACGTGGGAGGTTGGGTCAGTGGGGTTGGGTTGGGTCAATGGGGTTGGGTCAGTGGGGTTGGGTTGGGTCAGTGGGGTGGGTCAGTGGGGTTGGGTTTGGGTCAATGGGGTTGGGTTGGGTCAGTGGGGCTGGGTCAGTGGGGTTGGGTCAATGGGGTTGGGTTGGGTCAGTGGGGTTGGGTCAGTGGGGTTGGGTCAATGGGGTTGGGTTGGGTCAGTGGGGTTGGGTCAGTGGGGTTGGGTCAATGGGGTTGGGTTGGGTCAGTGGGGCTGGGTTTGGGTCAATGGGGTTGGGTTGGGTCAGTGGGGTTGGGTCAGTGGGGTTGGGTCAGTGGGGTTGGGTTGGGTCAGTGGGGTGGGTCAGTGGGGTTGGGTCAATGGGGTTGGGTCAGTGGGGTTGGGTCAGTGGGGTTGGGTTGGGTCAGTGGGGTTGGGTCAGTGGGGTTGGGTCAGTGGGGTGGGGATGGGGTTGGGTCAATGGGGTTGGGTGGGGTGGGGTTGGGTGGGGTGGGGTTGGGACCCTACCATGGATCATTGGGGTTTGGGGTGGATGTGTGGGTCCCTCCCTGGGTTGGGGGTCCCGCCCTGGGTTGGGGGTCCCTCCCTGAGTTGGGGGTCCCGGGGCGGTGGCTCACAGAGCGAGGCGGAGTTGAGGGACACGCCGGCCATGGCCAGCCCGGTCAGGAAGCGGCACACGCAATAGACCAGCAGGGACGGGGCGGCGGCCGTGCCCACCCCCGTCGCCCCCAGCTGCAGGTAACACCAGGTGAGCAGCGCCCGGCGCCCGAACCTGCGGGGACATGGAACTGGGAGCACTGGGAGCACTGGGAGCACTGGGAGCACTGGGAGCACTGGGGTGGGGGGTGTGAGGAACTGGAGGTACTGGGATGGGGCAACGTTGGATTCTGGAGATACTGGGCTGGGGACAGCGGTACTGGGAAGGGGGACTGGGGTCACTGGGGCAGGGCCGTGGGCACTGGGATGGGCACACTGGGAGCACTGGGGTGTGCTGGGGACACTGGGAGTGACGTGGGGACAGAGGGGGACAACCCACGCTGGGACAGACCCACCCTGGGGACACCGGAACAGCGGGGGCCAAGGGAGCAGAGAGCACACCCCTCCTCTCTCCCTTCCCAGCACCTCCCAGTTTGTCCCAGCACCTCCCAGTTCCTCCCAGTTCCTCCCAGTCCAGCGCCAGGGCAGCACGCACTTGTCGGAGAGGACCCCGAAGAGGCAGGAGCCCAGCAGGATCCCGGCCATGTAGATGGACTGGGCCACCTGCTTCAGCTTCTTGGAGTCACACACCAGGTCCCACTGCCACCGGGAGGGGACACGGGGTCACCACGGGGGTCACCACGGGGACACCAAAAGGATCACCACAGGGGTCACCATGGGGACATCATGGGGGTCACCATGAGGGACACCGGCATGCCCCCGGCGACCCCTCCCTCACCTCGGTGATGATGGTGTCGGTGAAGATGCCATCCAAGTACGTCCAGCCGTCGTGGCACGGCTCGGTGGCCGCCTCGGTGGCCGTGCCATTGGCCGAGCCGTTGACGTCCAAGAGGTGCCACTGGGGCTCCACGTAGCGGCGGCAGCTCTGGGGCCGGCGGTGACCGTCCAAGGGGATGGACACGACCAGGGGGACGTCGGCCGCGGTGGCGTTGGCCGCGGGCCGGGGCCGGCAGTGGTGCTCGGGGGTGCCGGCGGTGAAGTTCTGCAGGAGGTTGTGGCTGGCCAGCATCAGCAGCGGGGTGGCCAGCGCGGCCACGTAGGTCACCTGGAAGCGGCCCATGCCGCCCAGGCGGGCCAGCAGCTCCACGAAGGACATGGCCGGAGAGCGGACGGAGCTGGACAGGGCCCGGGTCAGCTGCGGGTGGGAAGAGGAGGAGAGGCTGAGGGATTGATTGCTCAATCAATCAATCAATTGGTCTATCAGATGGATCAGCTGATGTGTTGATAGATTGATCCATCCCTTGATCAACGGACTTATCTGTCTGATTGATCAATCTGATGACCAGTCTATCAATCTATCAATCTCTATTGATCTATCAATCTCTCTTATCTATCAATATATTGATCTATTATCTATCAATCAATCCACCTATCACTGTCACTCTCACTCTATTCATCAATCAATCAGTTACTGATTATTTCTTGTTCTCAGCTCCCCCATCCCTTCCCAATTAATCAGTCTATCAATCAATCAATCAATCAATCAATCAAACAAACAATCAATCTTCTCTCCCCAGTCCCACAAATCCCCCAGATCCCTCATGATCAATCGATCCCCACCTGCTCTCCTCCTCCTCCTCCTCCTCCTCCTCCTCCTCCTCCTCCGGCCGCTCCCGGCTCGGACTCTCGGCACTGTCCGGCTCTCCGGCCGTCCCTCTGTCCCTCCGGCCGCCCCTCCCTCGGCCCCGCCCCCCCGGCCCCTCCTTCACCCCCCGGGCAATCGATCAATCCATGGATCAATGGATTGCTCCGCTCTCTCTGCCCATTTATTGATCCTTAGCCTGTCAACAAATCGATTTTCTGCTGATAATAACCTATTGATAGATCTGTTGATCCCCCGCCAATCAATCCAGTGAGTTCTTCCTCTATTGATAGATTATTGATTACTAGCCTCCCTTTAACTATAATAGGTTGATCATAATTAGTTCATGATCTCTTTTTGTATTAGTTTATTGATCTATATGTTTCTCTTATTGATCTATTGACCAATTGAGTGATCTATTTTCTACTGATGGCTTCATCAATCAATTAACCTAGAGGGATCTCAATTGATCCATCTATTATTCTGTGTATTTCTAGGATCAATAAATTGATCTCTCATCTGTTGATCCAATTAGTCTCTATTTTTCTATTGACAAATCTATTGAACCATGATCAACCAATCAGAATAATGATCTCCTTCTCCACCAATCATTCTAATGATCCAGTTATTGAGTTGTAATCTATTGATCAATGTATTAATATCAACATCTCTATTGATCAGTCTCTTGGCCTGTGATCTTCCTATTGATTGATTTGTTGACCTTTAATTGCTCTCTTAATTGATATATTGACCTTTAATCCCTCTATTTGTTGACTTATTTATTTCAATCTCTCTATTGATCAACCTCCTGACCTATAATCTCTCTATTGATCAGCCCTTCCCTCCATCAATCGTTCTATTGAGCTTTGATCTCTGTCCTGACCTCGCTGGGCTCTCCGTGACCAGCCCATCGATGTCTCTATTGATCACTCACCTGTCTGTCAGTCCCGGTGCCTCCTGGCCTCTCCCAGCACCAGACCCCGGAGCCCTCGGTCGGCCGCTACCACCCCCCGGCCCCGCGGCTGCCCATGGCCCTGCCCTGCCCCCGGCCTGGCCCCGCTCCTATTTAAGGCCACCCCGGTCCCGGTTAACGTTTGACTCCGCCATGGATCGGTGGAGACGCTCTCGGGGCGGAAATGCCGGTGCCAGACCCACCCGGGACACCCGACAGCTGCCCCTCCACCCCACCAAACCCATCCTCTTCCTCACCCTGGAAGCCCCCAGGCCCCGGCAGATGGGGATCCCCGGCCCCCTCTGGCCCGTTCTGCTCCTCCAGCGTGGATCATTGATGAGGCAAAGTCCCGGGCGCCCTGAACCGTGTCCCTGGGAGCCCCTTGGACCCCGGGCAGGAGGGCACCGGGGGCAGCGGAGCGTGGGCGGGATGGGGGGAACGTGGGGGATGACGGGGGGAGCTGGACACCCAGATTGGCACCAGCCTGAATGGCGTGGGCCGGGTGTGTGGACACGTGGATCCTCAGGATCTCTGGGTCTGTGACATCCCAACGCCCTCAGAATGTCAGGAGACCAGGGATGCCTGGGTGGTCTGGATCCCCGGGATCCCGGATCCCCGGACATTCAGGCACCGGAGTCTCTGGTCCTTGGGATCCCCGGGTCTTTGGGATCCTCGGGATCCCTGAGGCCTTGAGATCCCTGAGCTCTTGGGATGTCTGGGAACCCTGGTGCCTGGATCTTGTGTCCCTGGGATCCCTGGACACCCCAGCACCTGAATCCTGGGGAGCTGGGTCCTTGGGGTGTCCAGGATCAGGGGGTGTGGGTCCTTGGGATCTCCAGGAACCCAGATATGGGGGTTCTTGGGGTCCCCTATCCTCGGGATTCCAAATCCTCGGGATCACCAATCCTTGGGACCCCTGATCCTCAGGGTCCCAAATCCCTGGCATCCCCCATCCCCAGACCCCAAATCCCCAGGATCCCCAATCCCCGGGGTCCCCAACCCCCAGATCCCCAATCCTCGGGGTCCCGGATCCTTCCCGCACTCTCTCCCGGCATTTTCCATCCCCGGCAGCTCCGGCCGAGGAGGAGGGGCGGGCGGGGGTCCCGCGGTGCCGAGGCCGCGGTGTCCCGCTGGCTCCCGTGTTTTCCTTCGGGGCGGGACGGGTCCGGCTGCGCGGGACCCCCCGTGGCCGTGGGAAAACAACCCCCACCCCCACCGGCCGCATTTCACACGAGCTTTGCTTTTATTGTTTTTTATTCCAGCGCGGCCGAACTGCCCTCGATGCACAGATTTGGGGGGGCCCCAGCGTCCCCCCCACTCTGTGGTCACCGCTGTCCCTTTGCTCTTCGGGGGGGGTTTGAACCCCCTCCACCCCCCAAATCCTGCTCATTCATCTGGCGGGAGCATCGAGGGCTGCGGATTTTGGGGGTCCACTGGTGGGGGGTGGCACTATTGGGGTCCTGTGGAGTTGCTGGACGGGGTGGGCTGGAGAGGGACCTGGAGATGTTGGGCTTCGTCCTTCTGGGATTGTGTCCTGGTGGGGAGGGAGGGATGGGGGAGGTTGGAGGGAATGGGGGGCTTTGTGGTGCTGGGATGGGTGTCTGTCCATCCATCCATCATCCATCCCTCCATCCCTGCATCCTTCCATCCATCATCCATCATCCATCCATCATCCATCATCCATCCATCATCCATCATCCATCCCTCCATCCTTCCATCCATCCATCCATCATCCATCCATCATCCATCATCCATCCATCCATCCATCCATCATCCATCCATCATCCATCATCCATCCATCCATCCATCCATCATCCATCCATCCATCCATCCATCCATCATCCATCCATCCATCCATCATCCATCATCCATCCATCCATCATCCATCCATCCATCCATCCTTCCATCCATCATCCATCATCCATCCATCATCCATCATCCATCCATCATCCATCATCCATCCCTCCATCCTTCCATCCATCCATCCATCATCCATCCATCATCCATCATCCATCCATCCATCCATCCATCCATCATCCATCCATCATCCATCATCCATCCATCCATCCATCCATCATCCATCCATCCATCCATCATCCATCCATCCATCCATCCATCCATCATCCATCATCCATCATCCATCCATCCATCATCCATCATCCATCCATCATCCATCATCCATCCATCATCCATCATCCATCCCTCCATCCTCCATCCATCCATCCATCATCCATCCATCATCCATCATCCATCCATCATCCATCCATCATCCATCCATCCATCCATCCATCCATCCATCATCCATCCATCATCCATCCATCCATCATCATCCATCCCAACCAGCTTCCATCCCTCCACCCCCACCTTCAACCAACCCTTCTCTCCCTCTGTCCCGCCCTTGTCCCTCCCCATCCTCCATCCCATCCCACCACCATCCCTGATCCATCATCCATCCCCTTCCCTGATTGATCCCTGATCCTCTCCAGCCCCACCTTCCCTCCACCTCCTCCACGGTCTCGGGCAGGGCCATGTTCCGCGTCTCGGGCAGGAAGGCGGCCACCAGCCCCGACACCACGGGCGCGGCACCGTAGATGACGAAGGGCAGCGCCGGGAAGAGCTCGCCCGCCATCTTCACCAGGGGGGCCATGATGCTGCCCAGCCGCGACATGGTGTTGGCCAAGCCCATGCCTGTCTGCCTGTGGGACACACGGAGCTCCCGAGGGCACCTGAGGGCACCTGAGGGACCACCCTGGCACCGCCACCCCGGCCACGCCCCAGCCGCGCCCCCTCCTTACCGGATCACGGTGGGGTAGAGCTCCCCCGTGTAGAGGAAGACGCAGTTGAAGGACGCGGCCAAACAACCTTTCCCAAAAACGGCCAGGGCTGTCCGGACTGTCCGGAGCTCTGAGGGGACAGCGGGACACCTGGGAGTCACCTCAGTGTCCCTACCTGGGCTGAGTTCACTTGACAAGAGGAGACCCCAAACACCAGGATTGAGGCAAATCCCCCATAAAAAGCTAAAATTACCCAACCTGGGGGTTCCATCAACGGGCTGAGCTTGTCCGGGCCCTCCCAGGTAGGTTGGAGATGAGGGGACACCACTGCCACCACCCCCGGCCTCACCTCGTGGCACCAAGACGTTGGCCAGGATGGCCAAGCCGGCCAGGATGAGGGCGATGGCCTGGGTGAAGCGGCGCCCCACGTAGGTGATGGTGAGGATGGACATCAGCTTGGCCGGGATGTCCACGGCGCCGAAGATCAGCTGGATCACGTAGATGTTGACCTCAAAGTTCTGCAGGTCCATGGCCAACCCGTAGTAGGCAAAGCTGGTGGAGAACCTGGGCCACAAGGGGGGAGAGGGGGTTAAAATATCACCTGTGGGGAGGTGTGGGGTGGCATGGGGGGCTCAAGGACGTGGAGGGGGATGGACAACCACCCACTGGTGTCCTCCACCGCTGGCCGTACCACACGAAGCAGAGGCAGAAGGAGATGCGGCGCAGGACCGGCGTCCGGACCAGGTCAATCGCAGTGTGGCGGGTCTTTGACAACGTCATCTCCTTCTCCATGTGGGACCTCAGGGTCTGGAGGGACAGGGGGGGCTCTGGGATGGGTGGGGGGCACTGGAGACCCTCCTGTACTGGGCAGGTCTGGACAGGACGGGTGGAAAAAGGGAAGGGGGGTCATGGGTGGATGGTGGGATGGAGATGGTGGATTCATGGATGGGTGGGTGGAGATGGAGGAGATGGAGATGGAGGTGATGGATGTCATTGAGATGATGAAGATGAGTGGGTGGATGGACAGGATGCACAAGGGATGATGGATGGACAGCTGTCCATGGGGTAGATATTCACGGGACCCCCATAAAACACCCCAAGGACACCCTGGGGGACCCGGATGGAGCCTTTTACTTCTATGTCGAGCTTGTCGCCTTCTTCCTTCTTCCCGTTGATCCTGGCCACCTTCTGGAGCTCCCGCAGGGCCTGGTGGGACTTCCCCACCATGACGAGCCACCGTGCTGACTCTGTCAGCCACCTGCATGGGAGGGGACATCCCTCCATCAGTCATCCATGCATCACCCATCCATCCCACCATCCATCCCACTGTCCATCCATCCATCCCACCATCCATCCATCCATCATCCATCCATCCATCCATCCATCCATCATCCATCCATCCCACTGTTCATCCATCCATCCATCCATCATCCATCCATCCATCATCCATCCATCCATCCATCCATCCATCCATCCATCCCACTGTCCATCCATCCATCCATCCATCCCTCTCCCTTCCTCCTCCTCACCAGGAGTAGAGGAAGAAGCCAAAGAAGGGCAGGGACACCACGAGCTGCAGCCGGCGCCAGTCGGGGACGGCGAAGGCGACGCCGGCCAGCAGGAACTGCCCGGTGGTGTAGCAGTACCCCATGAAGGTGCCCACCAGCGCCCGCATGTGTGTCGGCATCCACTCCAGCGCTGTTGGACACGGCACGTGGGGACCACCTGGGAGTGCCCACCGCCACCCCAGGGGACATGGAGACCACCGGGATGGTGCCCAGGGGACATGGAGACCACTGGAATGGTGCCCAAGGGCCATGGAGACCATTGGGATAGTGCCCAAGGGACATGGAGACCACCAGGATGGTGCCCACAGGTATCCTAGGGGAACATGGAGCCCAGGGCAGGTTCTGGGGTGACATGGACCCACAGGTGCCAGGGGACATGGAGACCACCAGGTTGGTTCCTGGAGGACATGGACATCACCAGCATGGTTCCTGGAGGGCTTGGAGACCGCCAGGATGGGGCCTGGAGGACATGGAGTCCACCAGGATGTCTCCCACAGGTTCAGGGGGGTCACGGAGCCCACCCAGGTGGGCACCCAGGGCGGGTAGCGGGCGCGGGGGTGACGTACAGAGGGAGACGCTGTTGAGGACAACACCCGAGAAGGCCATGCCCGTCAGGAAGCGGAACAGGCAGTACACGGTGAAGGTGGGCGCGAAGGACGAGCAGGTGCCCATGGCGGCCATCTGCAGGTAGCACCAGGTGAGCACCGAGCGGCGGCCGAACCTGGGCAGGGAGGAGGAGGAGGAGGAGGAGCAGCAGGGGGTGAGGATGAAGAAATGGGGGCGGAGGAGGAGGGGGAAGAGGAAGAGGAGGGGAGGAGAAAATGGAGAGGAGGAGGAGGAGACAAGAAGGATGAGGAAGGGGGCAGGGGAAGGAAGAGGGGGTGAAGAGGAGGAAAAAGGGGTGAGGAAGAGGGTGAGGAGGGGGAAGAGGGATGAGGAAGGTGAGGAAGAGAGAGGAGGCGAAGAGCAAAAGGAGATGAGGAGGAAAAAGAGGATGAGCCAAAGAAAGAAAGAGGAGGAAGAGTAGGGAACGAGGAGGAAGCAGAGACAGTGAGAGGACCCCCCCGGTGCCACCCCACCCACCTGCAGGAGCTCCCCCTCACCTGTCCGAGAGCCCCCCGAAGACGCCGCCCACCAGGACTCCGGCCATGTAGAGCGACTGCGCCAGCTGCTTGAGCCCTCGGGAGCTGCACACCAGGTCCCACTGCCGAGGGATGAGGACATGGGGTGGGACAGAGATCAGGGTCCCCTCTGGACTCCCAAAAGCCAAACCCACCCGTGATGGCCAGTAAGGTCAATGAATGGCCAATGGAGAGGTGACACTTAATGCTTGGCCACCCTTGATGGCATTGCTGTGGTTGGAAGGTCCATCCAAGGGTCCTATAACCCCTTGTGACCCCCTTGTGACCCCCTTGTTGATGGCCACCAACTCCCCATCCCTCCCTTCCTCTCCTGGGCTTTCCTGGTGTTGAGTGTCTCCACCAAAGGTTGAGCAGGGAAGATGCTCCAGTTGGGAGAGGTCAATGTTGTGTTGGCAGCAGACCCTTTGTTGGTGCCTCCAGGTGGGACCCACCCACGGGATTTGGTGAAAAGCCCACCAGACCCCCCCAAAACCCCACCACCACCGTCCCACCTCAGTGACGATGGTGCTGGTGAAGACGCTGCGGTTGTAGGTCCAACCATCGCTGCACGGCTCCGTCTCCGGCCAAGAGCTGTTGGGCTCCGAACCGTTGGCCTCCAAAAGCCACCACTGGGGTTTCACAAAGCGCCGGCAGCGCTCCCCGTGGGGCACCCAGACCCTCAGCAGGGCCTCGGGGTTGAGGCCGGTTGCGTTGGCCTCTGGGCGCGGGCGGCACCAGTGGTCGCTGGTGGCGGCGGTGAAGTTCTGCAGGAGGTTGTGGCTGGCCATCATCAGCACGGGCAGGGACAGGAGCAGCACCGAGACCACCTGGAAGCGCCCCATGCCCCCCACGTGCTCCAGGAGGCTGGCGAAAGCCATCCTGCCACCACCGGGGCCCGGGAACGCCCCACAGCCATGCAGAACCCCGGATTTCAGGGGTTTCACCCCAAAAATGCCTCCCTGGCCCACACGGTGCCTTCACTTCAGCAGCACCCAGGGGTGGTCTCCTATATAACACAGCCCAAGGGTGGTTTGGGTTAATGTTTGACATCTCCGGGGGGTTTTTGGTGGTTTTCCAGCAGAAGGCAAAAGTGCAGCGCAAAGGTGTCCAGGGGTGAAAAAAAAAGGTGATTTAGGGGCAAAAGTCCCCCAAAGTGGGGCAAAACTGGAGCCATTTGGGTCAGGAAGACAAGGAATATCGAATTCTTTTTAATTGTTATTTCATAGCAATGCCTTTTTGAGGGGAAAAGTCAGATTTTGGAGAGGGGGTGTTCAGGAGGTTGGGTGGGCACCGCAAGGAGAGGAGGTCTCCTGGCATGGACCAATGCCCAGCCCTCGGTGGTGCCTTTGGGTTAAATTTTAGTGATTTCAGTGGTCAAAAGGCGACCGAAAGGTGCTGACAGAGGTGGCCCTGCCTGGGTCAGCGCATTCCCCGCCGGGGGTTAATTTTTGATGGGGAGTTGATGGGGCCAAGGGACACGTCAGGAACGGGAGCAAGGGCCAAGGTGGCTTCAGGGGACAGAAATCGGGGAAGGGGCATCGCGGCAGCGCCAGGAGGGGGCTGGGTAGGATTCGGGAGCTCCTGGTGCTTCTCTGGGATTTGAGGGACTCCTCTACCAGGAGAAGAGTTGGTTTAGAGTTATTGAGGATTGGCTTGTTGGAGGTGACATCCAGAGTGGTGCTCTTGGTGCCACCTTATCTGAGGTGACTTTGGGGACACAGTTCTTGGGCACCGTCCTACTGGACAAGGTGATGAGGTGTCATTAAAAACGGGGGTTTTAGGTGCCACCTCATTGATGGACAAGGTTGTGGGGTGTCCTCCTGTGGAGATGACCTCCAAAAAAAGGGGTCCTTGGTCGTCTCCTTATTGGAAGTGACCTCAGGGACACAATTCCTGGGCACTGTCCCATGGGAGGTGACCTCGGATGTGGCTGTCGGGGGTGACCTGGGGGGCACAGATAAGACCCCGAGACATGTCCCCGCCAGAGCTGTTTTATTCCCACCCAGATGTCCCTGCCCCAACAGGAGGTCACCGGTCACGACCGAGGTCTCCCCCTCAAGCTGTGGGGACCCCTGGGGTGGTGGCCGCTGGTGGCCGGGGCTGGGGCGCTGCGTCCACCCCCAGGGTCCCTCAGGCCTCCTTCAGGGGGGACCCGTCCTGGGGCTGGAGCGCGATCTTCTCCTTGGGGTCACCTGCTGGCTTCTGCCTGGTCCTGGAGGGAGGAGGAAGAGGAGGAGGAGGAGGAGGAGGAGGAGGAGGAGGAGGAGGAGGAGGAGGAGGAGGAGGGTCATGGTAAAGGGAGAGTGGCCCAGGCTGAGCATTCAGCCAATCACAGAGCTCGTTCTTCTGCTAAAATCCCCATCCACCTGTCCCTCAATGCAGCCAGGGGTCCCTTGGCCCTGAACCTCTTTGTGGTTGGGGTTGTCCATCATTGTCCATCATCCATCCATTGCCAATCATCCAACCATCCATCGTCCATCCATTGTCCATCACTGGCCATCATCATCCATCATTGTCCATCAACCATCCATTGTCCATGTAACCATCCATGCATCATTCATCACTCAACCATGCACTGTCCATCATCCAACCATCATTCAATCATCATCCATCCATCCAAAATCCATCATCCATCCATCCATCATCCATCCATCATCCATCCATCCATCATCCATCCATCATCCATCCATCCATCCATCCATCCATCCATCCATCCATCCATCATCCATCCATCCATCATCCATCCATCCATCCATCATCCATCCATCCATCCATCCATCATCCATCCATCCATCCATCATCCATCCATCCATCATCCATCCATCCATCCATCATCCATCATCCATCCATCCATCATCCATCCATCATCCATCCATCATCCATCCTCCATCCATCCATCATCCATCCATCCATCATCCATCCATCCATCATCCATCCATCATCCATCCATCATCCATCCATCCATCATCCATCCATCCATCATCCATCATCCATCCATCATCCATCCATCATCCATCATCCATCATCCATCATCCATCCATCCATCCATCATCCATCCATCATCCATCCATCCATCCATCCATCATCCATCCATCCATCATCCATCCATTCATCCATCCATCTATCCATCATCCATCATCCATCCATTCATCCATCCATCCATCCATCCATCATCCATCCATCATCCATCATCCATCCATTCATCCATCCATCCATCATCCATCCATCATCCATCCATCATCCATCCATCATCCATCCATCATCCATCCATTCATCCATCCATCCATCATCCATCCATCCATCCATCACCCATCCATCCATCCATCCATCCATCCATCCATCATCCATCCATCCATCATCCATCCATCCATCATCCATCCATCATCCATCCATCATCCATCCATCATCCATCCATCCATCTCCCTCCCCTCCCTGTTGCCCACCTGTTCTCCACCTCCTCGATGGTGTCGGGCAGTGGCGTGTTGAGGGTCTCGGGCAGGAACGCGGCTGCCACGGCAGCCACCACGGGGGCCACCCCATAGACGGCGGGGGGCAGGAAGGGGTAGTACTCGTCCATCATCTTCACCAGCGGCGCCACGATGCCGCCCACGCGCGCCATGGTGCTGCCGAAGCCCAGCCCCGTCTGCCTGCGGCACCGGGAGGGTCACGGGGGGCACGGAGCACCCCGGGGGTGTCCGGGGAGGGGTGATGGGGACCTGCCCCACCGCGGGGACGTGGGGCTGGGGTGATACCTGATGGGTGTGGGGTAGAGCTCGGTGGTGTAGAGGAAGACGCAGTTGAAGGAGGCGGACAGGCAGCCCTTGCCGATGACGGCCAGCGCCGTGCGCACCGTCTGCAGCTCTGCGGGGACACCGGGGCTCGGCCACCGAGTGGGGGGACATGGGGACACCAGGGCTTGACCACCATGCGGGGACACCTCGGGCAGGTGGGGATGGGGCAGGGAGGGAGGATGGAGGGATGGGGAGGTCAGGGGCCGGACATAGGGATGGAAACATGGAGAAAGACGATCCGGGGATATTGATGGCCAAAAGTGTTGGAGAACCCCCTCCACACCCACCTGTGGGCACAAAGATGTTGGCCACGATGACCATCCCCGCAAAGAACAAGGCCACCATGAGTGAGAGCCGCCGGCCGACATAGCTCAGGGACACGGTCACCACCACCTTGGCCGGAAAGTCAACGGCGCCGAAAATCACCTGGATGAGGTAAATGCTGACCCCGAAGTTCTGCAGGTCCATGGCCAAGCCGTAGTAGGAGAAACTGATGGAGAACCTGGAGCGAGGTGGGAGGTGGGCGGACCTTGAGGTGATATCACCTTCCTGGGACAGGATGGGACAGGGATGGCAGGTGGGAGAGGAGAGGACTGGGAGGCAGTTGGATGGGTGGGGTCACTGGTTGCGTGTCCAGGTGTCCATCCTTCCCTTCACCCATCTGTGAGCCTGACCAGCCATCTGTCCATCCATCCATCATCCACCCATCCATCCATCTATCATCCATCATCCATCCATCATCCATTTATCATCCATCCATCCATCCATCCATCATCCATCCATCCATCCATCCATCATCCAGCCATCATCCATCCATCCATCCATCCATCCATCCATCCATCCATCCATCCATCCATCATCCATCCATCATCCATCCATCCATCCATCCATCATCCATCCATCCATCATCCAGCCATCATCCATCATCCATCCATCCATCCATCATCCATCCATCCATCCAGCCATCATCCATCATCCATCCATCATCCATCCATCTATCATCCGTCCATCCATCCATCCATCATCCATCCATCCATCCATCCATCCATCCATCCATCCATCCATCCATCATCCATCCATCCATCCATCCATCATCCATCCATCCATCATCCATCATCCATCCATCCATCATCCATCCATCCATCCATCCATCCATCCATCCATCCATCATCCATCCATCCATCCATCCATCATCCATCATCCAGCCATCATCCATCCATCCCTCCATCTCTCCCTCTCTCCATCCCTCCTCGCCCCCAGCCCCACCAGACGATGGAGAGGCAGAAGAAGATGTGGCGGATCACGGGGGTCCGGACCAGGTCAGAGACGGTGTAGGAGGATTTCAGAGCTGCCAACTCCTCCTTCATGTTGGACTTCAACATCTGGGAGAGGGGAAGGGGAAGAGGTTGGGGGGGCTGGAAACCCCCACCCCACCCCACCCCCCACGCCCACCATGGGGCCACCAGACCTCCACCGTGATCTTCTCCCCCTCCTCCTTCCGGTTGTTGAAGGTGGCCACGCGCTGCAGGACCTTCACCGCCCAGTCGGCTTTGCCCGAGAGCACCAACCACCGCGCCGACTCCGCCAACCACCTGCCGCCGGCGAGGGGAAACTGAGGCACAGCCAGCACCCCCCGTGTCCCCACGGCCTCCCCGAGGAGCCCAATGTCCTACCAGGAGTAGAGGAGGAAGACGAAGAAGGGCAGGGACACGGAGAGCTGGAGCCAGCGCCAGTGGGGGACGGCGTAGGCCACCCCGGCCAGGATGATCTGGCCCAGGGTGTAGGCGAAGCCGGTGATGGCCACGGTGATGGCGCGGTAGGGCGTGGGGATCCACTCCACCACTGCCAGGGACACAAGGACACGGCTCACTCCGGGTGTCCCCAAAGCGCTGGGACCCTCCTGGGCAGTGCAGCCATCCCAGCGTGGTCGGACGTGTCCGCACCGCGTGACCCCAGCGTGGCCACAGTGATGTCCTCGCTCATGGACACGGGGATGTCCCCACCTTGACCAATGGGTTGTCCCCACCCAGGAGCATTGGGTTGTCCACCTCCGTGGCCAAGGCCATGCCCCACCCCTGACCACAGGCTGTCCCCGTGTCCCCTCACCCAGGCAGGCGATGCTGAGGCCGAAGCCGGACAGCGCCATCCCGCCGGCGAAGCGGAAGACGCAGTAGGAAGCGTAGTTGGGCGCGAAGGCCGTGCACGTCCCCATCACCCCCAGCTGCAGGTAGGACCACATCAACATGGCCTTGCGCCCAAACCTGCAACAGGAGCCACTGGGAGCCACTGGGAGCCACCAGGGATGGAGCCCCACAGGGAAACTGAGGCACAGAGGTGGGGGGGGTCTCTGCTGCCTTTACCTGTCTGAGAGGCCCCCCAGGACCAGGGCGCCCACCAGGACCCCGGCCATGTAGATGGACTGGGCCATCTGCCGCAGCTGCCGGTAGGCACAGACCAGGTCCCACTGCCGGGACAGGGGGACATCTGCCAGTGTCAGTCCCTCCTTCTTCCTCTGCATCCCTCATCCATCCATCCATCATCCATCCATCCATCATCCATCCATCCATCCATCCATCCATCCATCCATCCATCATCCATCATCCATCCATCATCCATCCATCATCCATCCATCATCCATCCATCCATCCATCCATCCATCCATCCATCCATCCATCATCCATTCATCCATCCATCCATCCATCCATCATCCATTCATCCATCCATCATCCATTCATCCATCCATCCATCCATCATCCATCATCCATCCATCATCCATCCATCATCCATCCATCATCCATCCATCCATCCATCCATCCATCCATCCATCCATCCATCCATCCATCCATCATCCATTCATCCATCCATCCATCCATCCATCATCCATCCATCCATCCATCCATCATCCATCCATCCATCCATCCATCCATCCATCATCCATCCATCCATCCATCATCCATCCATCCATCATCCATCCATCCATCATCCATCCATCATCCATCCCTTGTCTGTCCCTCCCTCCCACCTCACCCCAAATCCTCCCCCCTCCCCACAGAGGTGTTGTCCCCCCATGGACACTGTGGTCACCTCCCCACCCTCCCCGTCCCCGCGTGCCCGTCCCCACCTCGGTGACGATGGTGGACACGTAGATGCTGCGGTCGTAGTCCCATCCGTCACGGCACGGCTCGGTGGCCTGGGCACCACCGGTGACGTTGGCCACGTAGCGCCGGCAGGACCCCAGGGTGACATTGGACCACCCCAGCGTGGCACCAGTGGGCCCCAGGCTGCCATTGGAGGACCCCCAGGTGGCATCAGGCTGGACACGGGTGCCATCAGGGGTCCCTGCGGTGCCATCGAGTGTGACGTGGGTGGCACCGGGGCTGGGGACGCCACTGGGGGACCTCAGGGTGGCACCAGGTGACCCCGAGGTGCCACCAGGAGACTTGAGGACCGTGTTGGAGCCTCTCAAGGTGTCACGAGGATGCGCTGAGGTGGCATCGGGGGTGGCTCCGTGCGGCGCTGGGGTGGCACCGGTGGCAGCAGGGGTGGCGCCGGGGACAGCGGGGACGCGGCAGCGGTGCGGGGGGACGGCGGCGGTGAAGTTCTGCAGCAGGTTGTGACTGGCCATGAGCAGGATGGGCACCGCCAACAGCGCCGTCTGCAGCACCTGGAACCGGCCCAGGCCCCCGACCTGCGCCAGCACCGCCCCGAACGGCATCGCGGGGACACCGCCGGACACGGGGACACCGCCGGACACGGGGACACTGCCGGACACGGGGACACTGCTGGACACGGGGACACCGCCGGACACGGGGACACCGCTGGACACGGGGACACCGCCGGACACGGGGACACTGCTGGACACGGGGACACCGCTGGATATGGGGACACCGCTGGACACGGGGACACTGATGGACACGGGGACACTGTCGGACACGGGGACACCGCTGGACACGGGGACACCGCTGGATATGGGGACACCGCTGGACACGGGGACACCGCTGGACACGGGGACACTGATGGACACGGGGACACTGATGGACACGGGGACACCGCCGGACACGGGGACACTGCCGGACACAGGGACACCGCTGGACACGGGGACACTGATGGACATGGGGACACTGATGGACACGGGGACACTGATGGACACGGGGACACCGCCGGACACGGGGACACTGCTGGACACGGGGACACCGCCGGACACGGGGACACCGCTGGATACAGGGACACTGATGGACACGGGGACACCGCTGGACACGGGGACACCGCCGGACACAGGGACACTGCTGGCCTGGGGACACCGCTGGACACGGGGACACTGCCGGACACGGGGACACTGCTGGCCTGGGGACACCGCCGGACACGGGGACACTGCTGGCCTGGGGACACCGCTGGACACGGGGACACTGTCGGACACGGGGACACCGCCGGACACGGGGACACTGCTGGACACGGGGACACCACTGGATACAGGGACACTGCCGGACACAGGGACACCGCAGGACACGGGGACACTGCCGGACACAGGGACACCACCGGACACGGGGACACTGCCGGCCTGGGGGACAGTGTCACCCAGGGGGATGGCAGCACTCGTGGGGACATCGTCAACCATGGGGACACCACAATCCATGGGGACACCAGTGGACACAGGGACACAGGGCCCTGGGGACACCCAAGACATGGGGACGTCACCTGTGGGGACATTACCACCCCCACTGGGACTTCATCAACTGAGGGGACACCATGAAACACGGGGACCCTGGGGCTTGGGGACACCTTCACCTGTGGGGATGGCAGGACATGGAGACACAGGGACAGAGGGACGCTGTCCAAGGGGACACAGCCACCCCCAGGGCCATGGGGACACGGGACGGGGGTGGGCACCGCTGGGAGTGCTGAACTGGGGCCACCAGGATGTGGGGACAGGGGACACGGGGACCCAGAGATGGGGAGGGGACACGGGGCAGGGGGTGTGGTGACCACTGGGGACAGTGTCACCACTTGCGTCACATGTCCCCAACCCCTCTGATGTCCCCATCCCCTCCCAGCATGTCCCTGTCCCTGCTCCACCTCGGCGCAGCTCCCCAGGGATAGGGACATCCGGCCAGCTGTGACTCCGTGTCCCCAAGGTGAAGGGTCCCCTCTGTCATGTCCCCAAACCCTCCCCGATGTCCCCACCATTCTCCTCCACGTCCCCAACCTGTCCTATGCCCCTCCACCATGTCCCCAACTTGTCCCATGTCCCCTCTGTGACTTCCCCAACCCAGCCATGGCCCCACCACACCCCCAATGCTCCCAGTGTCCCCCCATGATGTCCCCAACCTGTCCAATGTCCCCTCCCCTCCCTAAGAGAAAGTGTCCCCAACCCCCCAGCAATGTCCCCAACCCCTCCCTGGTGCCCCAAGCTGTTCCCATGTCCCCTCACAATGTCCCCACCCCATCCCATGACCCCCCAATGTCCCTCTCCACCCCCCCTCGCTGTCCACCCCAGTCCTGTCCCAGGAATCCCCCCAGGTGTCCCCTGCTGTCCCCACCTGTGTCCCCACCTGTCCCCCACCTGTCCCCCAGGTGGCGCCCCCATCCCGAGGTCCCCCCGCTGTCCCCATCTGTTGTCCCCTCCCCCTTTGCTCCCCCTGACCCCCCTGTCCCGGGGGTTCCCCCAATTGTCCCTGTCCCCCTGTGCCAGGGGTCCTCCCCGCTGTCCTCCCGTGTCCCCACCTGTGCTGTCCCTGTCCCCCTGTCCCTGTTCGGGTCCCTGTCCCTGTCCCCTTGTCCCAATCCCTGTCCCTCTGTCCCCGTCCCAATCCCTGTCCCTGTCCCGGGGGTCTCCCTGTGTCCCACCTGCACTCCCACTGCTGTCCCTGTCCCCTTGTCCCAGTCCCTGTCCCTGTCCCTCTGTCCCCCTGTCCCAATCCCTGTCCCAATCCCTGTCCCTGTCCCCCTGTCCCAATCCCAGTCCCAGTCTCTGTCCTCTTATCCCAATCCCTGTCCCAATCCCTGTCCCAATCCCTGTCCCAATCCCTGTCCCAGTCCCTGTCCCTGTCCCCCAGTCCCGTTCCCGGGGGTCCCCCTGTGTCCCACCTGCGCTGCCGCCGCTGTCTCTGTCCCCCTGTCCCTGTTCGGGTCCCAATCCCTGTCCCCCAGTCCCTGTCCCTGTCCCCCTGTCCCTGTCCCAGTCCCTGTCCCTGTCCCTCTGTCCCCCAGTCCCGTTCCCGGGGGTCCCCCCGTGTCCCACCTGCGCTGCCGCCGCTGTCGCTGTCCCCGTTCCCGTCCCCGCGCGGGTCTCTGTCCCTGTCCCAATCCCTGTCCCAATCCCTGTCCCTGTCCCTGTCCCTGTCCCTCTGTCCCTCTGTCCCTGTTCGGGTCCCTGTCCCAGTCCCCCTGTCCTAATCCCTGTCCCAGTCCCCCTGTCCCAGTCCCTGTCCCTGTCCCCCTGTCCCTGTCCCTGTCCCTGTCCCCCTGTCCCAGTCCCTGTCCCAGTCCCTGTCCCTGTCCCCCTGTCCCCCTGTCCCCCTGTCCCCCTGTCCCAATCCCTGTCCCTGTCCCCCTGTCCCCCTGTCCCTGTCCCTCTGTCCCAATCCCTGTCCCTGTCCCTGTCCCCCTGTCCCTGTTCAGGTCTCTGTCCCTGTCCCCCTGTCCCTGTCCCTCTGTCCCTCTGTCCCCCAGTCCCGTTCCCGGGGGTCCCCCCGTGTCCCACCTGCGCTGCCGCCGCTGTCGCTGTCCCCGTTCCCGTCCCCGCGCGGGTCGCTGTCGCTGTCGCTGTCGCTGTCCCGGTCCCGGTCCCGGTCCCCGCTGGCTCCGTTACACAACGAGGCGAAAAGCGCCGCTTTTGGTGCCACCGGGATTAACGGAGGGGGGGGGGGGGGGGCGAATTCCAGCGCCGCGGGGGGGTCCGGACGCCTCTGGGTCCCCCCGCCCGCCCGCCCGGGGTCTCTGCGGCCCTATAGGGGACACCCTATAGACCGGCACCCCCTCCCCACACTTAGGGACCCCCACCACCCCTTGGTGTCCCCCCCCCGGACCCCAAAGAGCCCCTACAGACCCCCAGAGGTGCACCAAGAGCCCCTATAGACCCCACAGACCCCCTATAGATCCCCCCGAACCCCCATAGATCTCCCCGAACCCCTATAGACCCCCCCAGCACCTACAGATGCCCCCCAGCCCCTAAAGAGCCCCCACAAATCCTTTTAAATCTCCTTTCGGGCCCTGGCAGCCCCACAGAGGCCCAGAGCAGCTCATTCACCTCCCTCCAACGCCCCTTTTGGGGTCCTACAACCTTTAACCCCCCCCCCCTTTAGGGTCCTACAACCTTTAACCCCCCCCTTTAGGGTCCTACAACCTTTAACCCCCCCGTTTTAGGGTCCTACAACCTTTAACTCCCCCCCTTTAGGGTCCTAAACCTTTAACTTCCCCACTTTAGGGTCCTACAACCTTTAACCCCCCCCTTTTTGGGGTCCTACAACCTTTAACCCCCCCCTTTAGGGTCCTACAACCTTTAACCCCCCCCTTTAGGGTCCTACAACCTTTAACCCCCCCGTTTTAGGGTCCTACACCCCCCGGCAGACCCCTTGAGACCCTACAACTCCCCGGTGCCCCTGCAGGTCCCTAAAACCCCCCCAGACACCCCGAGAATTCCCCCACCGGTGCCTGCGGACCCCCGTAATTCCCCTATAGCCCCTCCACCCCCCCCCACAGCTGCAACTCCCCTATGGGTCCCTATAGATGCCCTATAGATCCCTACAAATCCCCCAAAACCCTCCACAGATCCCCAAAGCCCCCCAAAATCCTCTCAGACCCCCCCCAAAATCCCCTATAGACCCCATAGAGGCCCATGGGGGCTCCGCCGCCCCCTGGTGGCCGAGAAAGGAAACGGGAATTGGGGGGGTCCCGGGAATTTGGGGAGGGGTCCCGGGAATTTGGGGGGGTCCCAGGAATTTGGGGGGGTCCCGGGAATTGGGGGGGGGGTCCTGGGAATTTGGGGAGGGGATTCAGAGGTTTGAGATCCCAGGATTTTGGGGCAGAGGGGGGGGTGTCCTAGGACTTTGGAGAGATGGTCCCAGGGTTTTTTGGGGGGGTCCCAGGGTTTTTTGGGGGGGGTCCCAGGGTTTTTTGGGGGGGGTCCCAGTTGTTTTTTTTTTTTGGGGGGGGGTCCATATGGAAACAGGAACTTTATTGAGCCGATACAAAACCCCCGACTCAGCAAACGCCCCCCAAAGTGCCCCAAAATCAACCCCCGACCCCCCCCACCCCCAAAAAGGGGTCCCAGGTGTGTCCGGGGGGGTCCCAGGAGCCCGGGCTGAGCCCCCCCCCCCAAGAAGTGACACAATTGGGGCGGGGGGGGGGGTCCCAGTGCTCCCAGTACCCCCCAGCCCCCCCAGACTGGTGTCAGGCCCAGCTCCCAGTAAGGCCCAACTGGGAGGCGGTGCCCGACCCCGGAATGGGGGAAATTCTGGAGAAACGGGTAAAAATTGGGGGGGGGTCGCTAGGAATCGTAATCTTCATCCTCCTCCTCTTCCTCCCGGGCGCGGGGGGGGCCGGGGGCCGGGGGGAGCCCCCCCGGGAGCCCCCCCGGGAGGCTGGGGGGGCCCAGAGGGGCGAAGGGGACCCCGGGGCTGCAGGAAAAGGCGTCAGTGAAAGGGGGAAAACCCCCCAAAAAACCCCAAACCCCCCCAAATCCCCCCCAGAGACGTGGGGGGAGCACCCCCCATCCACCCAAACCCCCCCGGGAGACCCAAGTTGGGGAGGGGCACCCAAAACCCCCTCCCCAAACCCCCCCCCAGGGACTCAGGGGTGGGGGGAACACCCCAAAACCCCCCAAAACAACCCCCAAAACAACCCCAGGTGTTTTCTGCCCCCCCCGACCCCCCAAAACTCACCTGGCGAAGGTGAGCGGGGGCGGGGCCGGGGGGGGCTGCGGGGTCTCCTCGTCCCCGTCACTGTCGCTGTCCTCAGACTCCTCCTGGGGGGACAAGGGGGGACAATGAGGGGACCCCAAACCCTCCCCATGCCCAGAGACCCCCAAACCCCCCCCAGAGGGGTCCCAGAAACCCCAAACCCACCCGGGACCCCCCAGTTCCACCCCCCCAGAAGTGACCCCACAACCAGGAACAGCCCTCTCCCCTTCAGGGGGGACCCCCAAACCCCCCAGGGCCCCCCCAGATGAGACTCAGGGCTCCAGTTGCCCCCAAAACCCCCCAAATCCCCCCCATAACCCCCCAAATCCCCCCCAGGACCCCCCAAATCCCCCCCACCTCCTGCTCCGAGTCTGTCCCCGACTGTTTCGGGGTCCCCTTGGCCCCGGGACCCCCGTTCTTGCGGCCACTGCCCGGGCGGCGCCCCCTGAAAGAGACCCCCCCCCAAATTAGAGACCCCCACCCCCGACCCCAAAACTGCCCCAAAATCCCTCCTGAACCCCCATCAGGGACCTCAGGTGTGCCAAGGTGCCCCCCAGGTACCCCAGGACCCCCCCAGCTGTCCAGGGGTGTCCCAAAAGTGTCCCGAGGTGTCCCTCAGGTGGCCAAAGGGGTCTCCCCAAATATCCCAGGGTGTCCCCCAGCTGTGCCACAGGTGTCCCCAAGGTGTCCAGGGGTGTCCCCAGGTGTCCCCCAGACATCCAGGGGTGTCCCCAAGGCGTCCAGAGGTGTCCCCAGGTATGCAAGAGGGTCCCCAGGTGTCCCCCAGGTGTCCCCCAGGTATCCAGAGATGTCCCCAAATACCCCTCAGGTATCCAGGGGTGTCCTCAAGTGTCCCCCAGGTACCCAGGGGTGTCCCCAGGTGTCCCCCAGGTGTCCCCAGGTATCCCTCAGGTTTCCCGGGGATGTCCCCAGGTGTCCCCCAGGTAACCAGACATGTCCCCAGGTGACCCCAAAGTGTCCAGGAGTATCCCCAGGTGTCCCCCAGGTATCCAGAGTGTCCTCCAGGTATCCAGAGTGTCCCTAGGTGTCCCTCAGGTTTCCCGGGGATGTCCCCAGGTGTCCCCCAGGTATCCAAAGTGTCCCTCAGGTATAAGGGTGTGTCCCCAGGTGTCCCCACGTATCCCTTAGGTTTCCCGGGGATGTCCCCAGGTATCCCCCAGGTATCCAGGGGTGTCCCCAGGTGTCCCCTAGGTATCGGGGTGTGTCCCCAGGTGTCCCCCAGGTCTCGGTGCGTGTCCCCAGGTGTGCCCAGGTGTGCCTCACCTGCGGGGTCCCCGCTCGCCGTCGCCGTGGGGGTCGTCGCCGTCCCCCTGCATGTCGGGCACGGCGGCCACCAGGTCCTTGAGGAAGTCGAACTGCTGCTCCAGCTCGATGCACTGCTTCCTGTGGGCGGGGCCTCAGACCACGCCCACACCTGCCCGGCCACGCCCCGAGCCCGCCCGGCCACGCCCAACGCACCTGGGACAGGCCACACCCACCCGGCCACGCCCACTGCACCTGGGTCAGGCCACACCCACCCGGCCACACCCACCCGGCCACGCCCAACACACCTGGGACAGGCCACACCCACCCGGCCACGCCCAACGCACCTGGGACAGGCCACACCCACCCGGCCACGCCCAATGCACCTGTGACAGGCCACACCCACCCAGCCACGCCCAACACACCTGGGACAGGCCACACCCACCCAGCCACACCCACCCAGCCACGCCCACTGCACCTGGGTCAGGCCACACCCACCCAGCCACACCCACCCAGCCACGCCCAACGCACCTGGGACAGGCCACACCCAGCCCTAAAAGGTGCCTCAGGTGTGTCAAGGGCCCTTCCCCAACTCCCAGAGGTGTCCCAGGTGTGCCGAGCAGGTGGGGACAGGTGGGGACAGGTGGGGACAGGTGGGGACAGGTGGGGACAGGTGAGGCACCGACTGGTGGGGACAGGTGGGGACAGGTGAGGCACCGACAGGTGGGGACAGGTGGGGACAGGTGGGGACAGGTGAGGACAGGTGGGGACAGGTGAGGCACCGACCGGTGGGGACAGGTGGGGACAGGTGGGGACAGGTGAGGCACCGACAGGTGGGGACAGGTGGGGACAGGTGAGGCACCGACAGGTGGGGACAGGTGGGGACAGGTGGGGACAGGTGAGGCACTGACAGGTGGGGACAGGTGGGGACAGGTGGGGACAGGTGGGGACAGGTGAGGCACTGACAGGTGGGGACAGGTGGGGACAGGTGGGGACAGGTGAGGCACTGACAGCTGGGGACAGGTGGGGACAGGTGGGGACAGGTGGGGACAGGTGAGGACAGGTGGGGACAGGTGAGGCACCGACCGGTGGGGACAGGTGGGGACAGGTGGGGACAGGTGAGGCACCGACAGGTGGGGACAGGTGGGGACAGGTGAGGCACCGACAGGTGGGGACAGGTGGGGACAGGTGGGGACAGGTGAGGCACTGACAGGTGGGGACAGGTGGGGACAGGTGGGGACAGGTGGGGACAGGTGAGGCACTGACAGCTGGGGACAGGTGGGGACAGGTGGGGACAGGTGAGGCACTCACAGGTGAGACGTCGTCATAGTCTTGGCGTTGCGGGACTGGGTGACGTGGCACGCCTTGCGCAGCAGCGACTCCAGGAACAGCTCCAGGGCCCGCGCTGGCACGCTAAGGACAGCCAGGTACGCAGGTGGCACCCCGGGGCCGCAGGTGAACCCCCCCAGCACCCCCCAGCACGGGCAGCCTCAGGTGGCACAGGTACAGGCACCTGGGGGGCCGAGATGTGCACGGTGGGAGAGCCCAGGTGAGCAGGGTGGGGTCCCAGGGGTGCCCAGGGTGGGGTCCTGGGGTGCCCAGGTGAGCAGGGTGGGGTCACAGGTGTTCAGGGCAGGGTCCCAGAGGTGCCCAGGGTGGGGTCCCAGGGTGCCCAGGTAAGCAGGGCAGGGTCCCAGAGGTGCCCAGGTGAGCAGGGTGGGGTCCCATGGTGTCCAGGTGAATAGGCCAGGGTCTCAGGGGTGCCCAGGTGAGCAGGGCGGGGTCCCAGAGGTGTCCAGGGTGGAGTCCTGGGGTGCCCAGGTGAGCCGGGTGGGGTCCCAGAGGTGCCCAGGTGAACAGGGCAGTGTCTCAGGGATGCCCAGGTAAGCAGGTTGAGGTCACAGCTGAGCAGGGCAGGGTCCCAGAGGTGCCCAGGTGAGCAGGGTGGGGTCCCAGAGGTGCCCAGGTGAACAGGGCAGTGTCTCAGGGATGCCCAGGTAAGCAGGTTGAGGTCACAGCTGAGCAGGGCAGGGTCCCAGAGGTGCCCAGGTGAGCAGGGTGGGGTCCCAGAGGTGCCCAGGTGAACAGGGCAGTGTCTCAGGGATGCCCAGGTAAGCAGGTTGAGGTCACAGCTGAGCAGGGCAGGGTCCCAGAGGTGCCCAGGTGAGCAGGGTGGGGTCCCAGAGGTGCCCAGGTGAACAGGGCAGTGTCTCAGGGATGCCCAGGTAAGCAGGTTGAGGTCACAGCTGAGCAAGGTGGGGTCCCAGAGGTGCCCAGGTGTTCAGGGCAGGGTCCCAGGGTGCCCAGGTGAGCAGGGCGGGGTCCCGGGGCGGGGCCCAGGTGTGCCAGAGGATACAGATGATGACGGGCACGGCGGCCGCCACCTTCCCGATCTCCTCGTCCGTCTGCATGATCTTCTTGATCCGCGCCTGCCACAGAGCCCCGCCCTCACCTGAGCGCTCACCTGGAGAGCCCCGCCCTCACCTGGAGAGCCCCGCCCTCACCTGAGCAGCCCCGCCCTCACCTGAGCGCTCACCTGGAGAGCCCCGCCCTCACCTGGAGAGCCCCGCCCTCACCTGAGCCCCCTCACCTGAGCCCCCCCGTCACCTGCAGAGCCCCGCCCACCCCTCAGGCCACGCCCCCACCTGCCCCTCACGCGCGGCCCCGCCCGCCCAAACCCCGCCCACCCCTCAGGCTCCGCCCCACCCTCTCCGTTACCATGGCGACCCCCGTGACCCCGCCCTCATTGCCATGGCGACGTGACCCCGCCCCGCCCGTTGCCGCGGTAACCCCCGCGCCTCCCCCGCCCTCGGCGTTGCCATGGTAACCGCCCCTTCCCCTCACCCCCCCTCGTTGCCATGGCGACCCCGCCCGCGCCCCCGTCCCCCCTCAGCCGGTACCGGCGGGAAGCGCGCGTTGTATTTCTTCTTCTTGCTCGGCATGGCCGCCTCGCTGGCCCCGGGGGGATCGCGGAGGCTCCGGCCCGGCCCCGCTGCCGCCGCTCCCGGCCCCGCTGCCGCCGCTCCCGGCCCGGCCCCGGCCCCGGCCCCGTTCGGCTCCGCCGCGGCCTCCCCGCCCCGCCCCTTCCGGGACGAGGCCACGCCCCTTCCCGAAAAAACCGCGCCCCGCCAATTTGGACACGCCTCCTTGGAAAGGAAACCACGCCCCCACCGCTATAACCACGCCCCCACCGCTATAACCACGCCCCCACCGCTATAACCACGCCCCCACCGCTATAACCACGCCCCTCTGCCATAACCACGCCCCCACAGCTATAACCACGCCCCTCTGCCATAACCACGCCCCCACCGCTATAACCACGCCCCCAGCTGTCAATCAAACGCAGGCGGCCTCGGACCGTTTATTGGGGTGACCCCGGAGGGGGGGGAGGGGGGGAAGGGGCGGGGCTTTCCCCTCCCCCCCAAGGCACTTCGATGGGGGCGGGGTTAATGCCGGGGGGAGGGCTGGCCACGCTCCCATTGGCTGCTGTGCCCCGGGGGGCGGGGCAAAGGGGGGGCCCCCCCCCCCCCAAAAGGCACCCGGTGACCCCAAGTTTCCCAGTAGCTCCCAGTGACCCCCAGCAGGCACTTGGTGTCCTCCCAGTAGCTCCCAGTAACTGCAGAGATTTCCCAGTGACTCCCAGTTGTGTCCCAGTAACCGCAGAGAACTCCCAGTGACTCCCAGTAGGCCCCAGCACCCCCCAGAAACCTCTCCGTGCCCCCCAGTAGCCCCTAACAGCCTCCCAGTGACTCCCAGTAAGCTCTAAAAGCCTCCCAGTAAACACCAGAAACCTCCCAGTGACCCCTAGAAGCCTCCCAGTAACTCCCAGTCAGCCCCAGCAACCCTCAGATGCCTCCCAGTAACCCCTAGAAGCCTCCCAGTGACTCCCAGTAACCCCTAGAAGCCTCCCAGTGACCCCTAAAAGCCTCCCAGTAAGTACAAATAAACGCTGGACACCTCCCAGTAACACCCAGTAAAGCCTCGAGCCCTCCCAGTGCCTCCCAGTAGCCCCCCAGTGGCTCCCAGTCAGGAGGAGGGGAACTGGCTGAGGAAGGTGCTGAAGTCCAACTCCCCCAGCGAGGGCAGCGACTCCTCGGGCCCCCCCAGCCCCCCCAGCGCCCCCAGCTCGGGACCCCCGCCCAGCTCGGCCCCCAGCCCCATTTCGGGGGGCGCCCCCGGGGGTTGGCTCTGCACCAGGCGGGCGATGGCCTCGGGGTACGACATCAGCATGGGGGGGCCCCCAAAATCCGGGGGGGGCGGGGGCAGCTCGGAAACCCCCCCCCCAAAATCCGGGGAGGGGTCCCCAAAGCTGGGGGGGGGCTCGGGGGGGCCCAGCAGGCGCTGGACCTCGGAGGCGTTGATGGCGTCCAGGGCGGGGAAGGGGGAGTCCCCCCCACCCAAAAGCGCCCCGAAATCCAGCGGGGGGGCCGCGCCGCCGCCCCCCACGATTTGGGGGGACCCCTCCTCAAATTGCAGCTGCAGCAGCGCCTCGGCCAAAGGCTCCGCCTCGGGGGGGGCCGGGCCCCCCAGGAGCCCCCCGGGACCCCCGAAAGAGAAGGAGGGAGCTGGAGGGGAGGGGAAGGGGTGAGGGAGGGGCTCGACCCCCCAAATCCCCTCCGTTTTCCCCCCAAAATTGCCCCCAGCCCCATTTACTCCCCTCCCCATTTCCCCCTCCCCAATTCCCTCCTTGCTCTTCAACCCCCCCATTTTCCCCCCCAGTTTTCCCCTTTTACCCCCACCCCAATTCCTCCCAGTCCCTCCCAGTCCTCCCCAGTCCCTCCCAGTCCCTCCCAGTCCCCCCCTCACCCGCACTGGGGGGGTTCTGGGGGGCCGGGGGGGGTCTCGAGGGCACCGCGATGCGCCGGGGGGGCCGCGCCTCGCTGGACGCCGGAGCTGGGGGGGGGGAGAAATGGGGGTCCCACTGTCAGGGACCCCCCCTAGGGACCCCAAATCCCCTCTGGACCCTCCCCCAGGACCCCAAATGATCCCCCCAGGCCCCCAAAATCCTCCCCAGTATCCCCAGGGTACCCCTATTTCCCATTCTAGACCCCCCCCAGGACCCCAAAACCTCCTCAGAGACTCCCCCCAGGGACCCCAAATCCCCCCAGGACCCCCCCAAGACCCCCAGTTCCTCCTCTACACCCCCCTGGGGACCCCAAGCCTCCCCCCAGGGTCCCCCAAAGCCCCCCAGACTCCCCCAGGGGCCCCAAACCCCCCCAAATTCCCCCCAGGGATCCCAAATTTCCCCTCCAGACCCCCCAGGGACCCCAATAATCCCCCCAAAAGCCCCCCAAGCCCCCACCGGGCAGGGGGCTGCGCTGGATGAAGGAGCGGAAGGTTTCCCGCGTCCGCTTGCGCTTCTCCTCGATGCACTGCAGGTCCCCTGCACCAGTAACACCAGTTAGCTCCCAGTTAGCTCCCAGTTAGCTCCCAGTTGGGCCCTTCACCTCCTTGAGACCCCCAGGGATCGCCCCAGTAACCCCCAGTCCCGTCCCAGTCCCCTCCCAGTCACACCAGTGACCCCAGAAGACCCCACAGCATCCCAGGGTGACAAGAAGGACCCAAAAATAACCAGAACGGGACCTGGGAGTGCCCCAAAAGGACCCCAGATCACCCCCAGCCCCACAAAAAGACCCCACAGCCCCCCAGAGACCCCCGCCCAGGCCCACCCTGGTGGGGCAGGAATAGGAAATCAATGGGAACTGCAGCTCCAGGGACCCGGGAATGCCCCAAAGGGACCCGGGAATGCCGCAAAGGGACCCGGGAATGCCCCAAACGGACCCCAGATCACTCCCAGCTCCCCAAATGGACCCCATAGCCCCTCCAGCCCCCTGCCCAGGCCCACCCTGGTGGGGCAGGTAGCGGAAGTCCAGCGGGGCGCTGCGCTGGCGGTCCGAGGGCCGCTGCAGCTCCATGCGCACGGTGACGGGGACGCGCAGCGCCGGGTCCCGGAAGGGCGGCGTGCGGAACACGATGGCGACCTGGCGGTGAACGTCGGCCTGCGCGAAGGAGCCCTTGGCCTCCCAACCCTCGGCCGAGAAACGCACCTCGATGTCCTCTGCGGGGACGGGGACACGCTGGGGACACCGCGGGGACAGGGACACGGGGACAGGGACACGGGGATGGGGACACTCTGGGGACACCGCAGGGACAGGGACGGGGACAGGGACACAGACACGGGGACACCGCGGGGACAGGGACATGGGGACAGGGACGGGGACAGGGACACAGGGATAGGGACACGGGGACAGGGACAGGGACACGGGGATAGGGACATGGGACACAGGGACAGGGACATGGGGACAGGGACACGGGGACAGGGACATGGGGACAGGGACACTGGGACACGGGGACAGGGACACGGGGACAGGGACATGGGGACAGGGACACTGGGACAGGGACACGGGGACAGGGACATGCTGGGGACACCGCGGGGACATGGAGGGGACAGGGACACAGACGGGACAGGGACACAGACACAGGGACATGCTGTGGACAGGGACAGGACACAGGGACACGGACAGCGCATGGGGACAAGGACATGGACACGGAGACAGGGACAGGACACGGGGACAGGGACAGGACACGGGGACAGGGACAGGTGACAGCGACAGGAACAAAGCATGGGGACACAGACACAGGCATCGCCTGGTTTGGGGTGTCCCTGGTTTGGGGTGTCCCATTTTTGGGGTGTCCTGTTTTTGGGGTGTCCCTGGTTTGGGGTGTCCCTGGTTTGGGGTGTCCCAATTTTGGGGTGTCCCATTTTTGGGGTGTCACAGGTTTGGGGTGTCCCGATTTTGGGGTGTCCCCTAACCTTTCTGGACCTTGTCACACAGCAGGAAGATCTCGTCCCCGCCCCGGCAGCTCCCGGAGTTGCGGTTGACGCGGCAGATCCGGAGCTCGGCCGTGCTGGGGGCACCTGGGGACACCACGGGGTCACTGTGACCCTCAGGTGTCCCCCAGGTGTCCCAGGGGTCCCTCAGGTGTCCCACAGGTGTCCCAGGGATGTCCCAGGTGCCCCCCAGGTGTCCCAGGGATGTCCCAGGTGTCCCTCAGGTGTCCCAGGTGCCCCCCAGGTGTCCCCCAGGTGTCCAGGGATGTCCCAAGTGTCCCCCAGGTGTCCCACAGGTGTCCCAGGGATGTCCCAGGTGTCCCTCAGGTGTCCCAGGGATGTCCCAAGTGTTCCCCAGGTGTCCCAGGGATGTCCCAGGTGTCCCTCAGGTGTCCCAGGGATGTCCCAGGTGTCCCTCAGGTGTCCCGGGGATGTCCCAGGTGTCCCCCAGGTGTCCCCCAGGTGTCCCCCAGGTGTCCCCCAGGTGTGTCCCAGGTGTCCCAGGGATGTCCCAGGTGTCCCCCAGGTGTGTCCCAGGGATGTCCCAAGTGTCCCCCAGGTGTGTCCCAGGGATGTCCCAGGTGTCCCTCAGGTGTCTCAGGGATGTCCCAGGTGTCCCTCAGGTGTCCCAGGGATGTCCCAGGTGTCCCTCAGGTGTCCCAGGGATGTCCCAGGTGTCCCCCAGGTGTCCCAGGGATGTCCCAAGTGTCCCCCAGGTGTTCCCCAGGTGTCCCAGGGATGTCCCAGGTGTCCCCCAGGTGTCCCCCAGGTGTCCCAGGGATGTCCCAGGTGCCCCCCAGGTGTCCCTCAGGTGTCCCAGGGATGTCCCAGGTGTCCCTCAGGTGTCCCTCAGGTGTCTCAGGTGCCCCCCAGGTGTCCCTCAGGTGTCCCAGGGATGTCCCAGGTGTCCCTCAGGTGTCCCAGGGATGTCCCAGGCGCCCCCCATGTGTTCCCCAGGTGTCCCAGGGATGTCCCAGGTGTCCCAGGGATGTCCCAGGTGTCCCCCAGGTGTCCCCCAGGTGTCCCCCAGGTGTGTCCCAGGTGTCCCCAGGTGTCCCCAGGTGTCCCCACTCACGGTTGTCGTAGATGGGCTGGGACAGGACGGGGGGCAGGGGCTGCAGCCCCCCCGGGCCCCTCACCCACACCTGGAAGCAGAGCCTGACCGCGGCCAGGTCGTACTCGCCCCCGCGCTGCTCCGCCGGCACTGCCCGGTACAGACCAGTATAAACCAGTATAGACCAGTATGAACCCATATAAACCAGTATAAAACAGTATAAATCAGTATAAACCAGTATAAACCAGTTTAAACCAGCGACGCCCCCCAGGCACCCCACCAGTGACACCCCCAGGTCGTACTCGCCCCTGGCACTGCCCAGTACAGACCAGTACAGCCCAGTACAGACCAGTGATGCCCCCAGCAGCCCCAGGACCCTCCCCAGTGCCCTCCCAGTAACACCCAGTCACTCCCAGTTCCCTCCCAGTCGCTCCCAATCACTCCCAACCACTCCCAGTCCCCCCCCAATCACCCCCAGTTCCCCCCCAGTCACTCCCAGTTCCCCCCCAGTCCCTCCCAGTCCCCTCCCAGTCTCTCCCAGTCCCTCCCAGTGCTCCCAGTACCGTTGAAGGGGTTGTTGTTGGTGCGGATCCGCTCGGCCACGGCCGCCTCCAGCTCCCGCTTCTTCACGCACTGAATCCCCAAATTCTGGAAACTGACCCCAAAATTGGGGCGGGTCAGGGGTCAACCTGGATTTTGGGATCCCCCCCGAACACTCCGGGGCAGAGATCCCAAATTTTGGGGGTTCTCAGGGCTCCTGGGAGGGTCCCGGATTTTGGGCATCCCCCCCCCGTTTTTGGGTGATCCCGCCTGCCCGAAGGGGGATCCCCAATACTTTGGGAGATACCATCTGCCCTGTAGGGGGGTTCCCCCTAGGGGTGATCCCACCCGCTCTTTTGGGGGGATCCCAAATTTTGGGTGCTCCCACCTGCCCCGTGGGGGTGTCCCCGATTTTGGGGGGTCTCCCCAGTTTTTGGGGGGATGTTCCTGGTTTTTTGGGGGGTGTCCCCGGTTTTTGGGGGGGGGGATGTTCCTGATTTTTGGGAATGTTCCCAATTTTGGGGTGTGTCCTCAGCCTGGGGATGTCCCTGTTTTTTGGGGGGTGTGTCCCCTGTTTTTGGGGGGGGTGTCCCCAGTTTTTGGGGGTTGTCCCCAGTTTTTGGGGGGATATCCCCAGTTTTTGGGGGGGGATGTTCCCGGTTTCTGGGGGGATGTTTTCAGTTTTTGGGGGGTGTGTCCCCAGTTTTTGGGGGGTGTCCCCGGTTTTTGGGGGGGGGCGTCCCAGTTTTTTGGGGGGATGTTCCCGGTTTCTGGGGGGATGTTCCCAGTTTTTGGGGGTTGTCCCCAGTTTCTGGGGGATGTTCCCGGTTTTTGGGGGAATGTTCCCGTTTTCTGGGGGATGTCCCCAGTTTTCGGGGGGGATGTTCCCAGTTTTTGGGGGGGGATATCCCCAGTTTTTGGGGGGATGTTCCCGATGTTTGGGGGGGATGTTCCCAGTTTTTGGGGGAATGTTCCCGGTTTCTGGGGGATGTACCCGGTTTCTGGGGGGGGATATCCCCAGTTTTTGGGGGGACATTCCCGGTGTTTGGGGTCCCACCTGTGCACGCTGCGCTCGGGGCACAGCTCGGCCTCGTAGAAGCCGTCCCGGCAGTCTTTGCCCACCAGCTCGTGGGGGTGGGGGCGGTGCGGGGGGTCCTTGGTCACCAGCGACACCCGCACGCGCCCCGGGCCCCGGTAGTTGTTCACCTGCGCGGGTGGAACTGGGCTGTACTGGTCTGTACTGGTCAGCGCTGCTTTGTACTGGTTTGTACTGCTTTGTACTGGGAGGCTCAAGGGGATGCTGGTGTGGGTCTGGGGGAGGGGGTGCTGAGCCCCCCCTGACCGGGGATGGGAATGTAGGGGAGATCAGGGGGGTCCCAGGCTGTTACTGGTCCATACTGGTTTGTACTGGTTTGTACTGGGGGACTCACGCGGATGGTGGGGTGGGTCCTGGTGCTCTCGCTGCTGTGCTCCCCGGGGATGGGGGCACTGGGGGGCACTGGGGGCACTGAAGGGGTACTGGGGGGCACTGGGGGGGCACTGGGGGGGCACTGGGGGGCACTGGGGGGCACTGGGGGGGCACTGGGGGGTCCCAGGCTGTTACTGGTCCATACTGGTCCATACTGGTCCATAGTGGAGGACTCACGCGGATGGTGGGGTGGGTCCTGGTGCTCTCGCTGCTGTGCTCCCCAGGGCTGGGGGGGCACTGGGGGGCACTGGGGGGCACTGGGGGGGCACTGGGGGGGCACTGGGGGGGCACTGGGGGGTCCCAGACTGTTACTGGTCCATACTGGTCCATACTGGTCCATACTGGGGGACTCACGCGGATGGTGGGGTGGGTCCTGGTGCTCTCGCTGCTGTGCTCCCCGGGGCTGGGGGGGCACTGGGGGGGCACTGGGGGGGCACTGGGGGGGCACTGGGGGGCACTGGGGGGGCACTGGGGGGTCCCAGGCTGTTACTGGTCCATACTGGTCCATACTGGTCCATAGTGGAGGACTCACGCGGATGGTGGGGTGGGTCCTGGTGCTCTCGCTGCTGTGCTCCCCGGGGATGGGGGGGCACTGGGGGGCACTGGGGGGCACTGGGGGGCACTGGGGGGGCACTGGGGGGCACTGGGGGGCACTGGGGGGCACTGGGGGGGCACTGCGGGGTCCCAGACTGTTACTGGTCCATACTGGTCCATAGTGGGGGACTCACACGGATGGTGGGGTGGGTCCTGGTGCTCTCGCTGCTGTGCTCCCCGGGGATGGGGGGGCACTGGGGGGGCACTGGGGGGCACTGGGGGGCACTGGGGGGGCACTGGGGGTCCCAGGCTGTTACTGGTCCATACTGGTCCATAGTGGGGGACTCACGCGGATGGTGGGGTGGGTCCTGGTGCTCTCGCTGCTGTGCTCCCCGGGGATGGGGGGGCACTGGGGGGGCACTGGGGGGCACTGGGGGGCACTGGGCGGCACTGGGGGGGCACTGGGGGAGCACTAGGGGGTCCCAGACTGTTACTGGTCCATAGTGGTCCATACTGGTCCATACTGGTCCATACTGGGGGACTCACACGGATGGTGGGGTGGGTCCTGGTGCTCTCACTGCTGTGCTCCCCGGGGCTGGGGGGGCACTGGGGGGCACTGGGGGGCACTGGGGGGTCCCAGGCTGTTACTGGTCCATACTGGTCCATACTGGTCCATAGTGGGGGACTCACACGGATGGTGGGGTGGGTCCTGGTGCTCTCGCTGCTGTGCTCCCCGGGGCTGGGGGGGCACTGGGGGGCACTGGGGGGGCACTGGCTGTTACTGGTCCATACTGGTCCATACTGGGGGACTCACGCGGATGGTGGGGTGGGTCCGGGTGCTCTCGCTGCTGTGCTCCCCAGGGCTGGGGGGGCACTGGGGGGCACTGGAGGGGCACTGGGGGTCCCAGGCTGTTACTGGTCCATACTGGTCCATACTGGTCCATAGTGGGGGACTCACGCGGATGGTGGGGTGGGTCCGGGTGCTCTCGCTGCTGTGCTCCCCGGGGCTGGGGGGGCACTGGGGGGCACTGGGGGGCACTGGGGGGGCACTGGCTGTTACTGGTCCATACTGGTCCATAGTGGGGGACTCACACGGATGGTGGGGTGGGTCCTGGTGCTCTCGCTGCTGTGCTCCCCGGGGATGCTCCCGGCCGAGCGCCCCTCGCACTTGTAGCGGAACCTCATCCCGCGCTGCTTCGGCTGCTCCAGGATCTCCACGAACGGCGCCGCCCCCCCCGCCTCTGGGGGGGCACGGGGGGGTCCCGTCAGCCCCTCTGCACCCCCCCCCCACCCCCAGCCCCCCGGGGACCCCCCCTGCCCACCCTTCCCCACTCACTCACCCTGAGCGCCCCAGTCCTGCAGCAGGAAGGGCAGGAGGTCCGGGGGGGTCACTGGGGGGGCAAAGGGGGGGGGGTCAGTGGGGGAGGGGGGGTCACTGGGGGGGTGGGGGTCAGTGGGGGAGGGGGGGTCTCTTCGACGGGGAGCAATAAAAGGGGGGAGCAATAGAGGGGGTCATTTTAGGGGGGTCGCTTTAAAAGGGGGGGGGCTTTTAGGGGAGGGGTCACATTAAGGGGGGTCACATTAAGGGGGGGTCACATTAAGGCGGGTTACATTAAGGGGGGGTCACATTAAGGGGGGGTCACATTAAGGGGGGTCACATTAAGGGGGGATCACATTAAGGGGGGTCGCATTAAGGGGGGTCACATTAAGGGAGGTCACATTAAGGGGGCGTCACATTAAGGGGGGGTCACATTAATGGGGGTCACATTAAGGAGGAGTCACATTAAGGGGGGGGGTCACATTAAGGGGGGATCACATTAAAGGGGGGGTCACATTAAGGGGAGGGGGCGTCTCTTCACAGCGCTGTCACAACAACGGGGGTTACTTCCCGGGGCTCACTTTAAGGGGGGGGTCTCCCCCCCAAAACCCCCCCCTCCCCCTTTAAACCCCCCCGCCCCTTAAAGGGCCCGCACCCTCCGCTCACCCCGCGACGTCACTCGGGGCGGAACGGTCCCACAACCGCCCGGGGGGGGTCAGCACTCACCGTCCTCCATGGCGGGGGTCGGGGGGTCCCGGGGGGTCCCGGGGGGTCCCGGGGGTCCCGGGGGGGGGTCCCGGGGACAGCGGGAAGGGCGGGGGGGGGGCCCCGCTCGCGCCGCCGCTGGCGGAAGCGCCGCGCCCCACGTGACGCGGCTGCCGGGAAAGCCCCGCCCCCTCCCGCGAGCGCTCCCGCCAACCGGGGGGCGGGGCCGCGGCGCGAAGGGGGCGTGGCCGCGTCCCGGAAGCGCGTCGGGCCGGCCGGAAGCGGAGGCCGGGAGGAGAATGGCGGAGGTGGGGAGCGGGCGGGGGGGGGCAGCGCGGAGGGGGCTCGGGGACCCTCCCGAGGGGTTCCGGGAGCCTCCGGAAGGGTTCGGGGACCCCCCGAATCCCCCGCGGGGGTTTTGGGGCCCCCCCGGCCCTGACGAGGCCCCGCCCCCGCAGGGGGAGGTGTCCGAGGGCTGCCGCCTGCCCGTGCTGCGCCGTAACCAGGACAACGAGGATGAGTGGCGTGAGTGGGGCGGGGCTTAGCGCGGGGGGCAGCCAATCAGGGCACGGGGGCGGGGCTGCGGGAAGGTGGGAAGCGGCAGGGAGGGGCGGGGCCTGATTGGGGGCGGGGCCTGTTTGGGGGCGGGGCCTGGCCCGGGGGGTGTCGGGGGTCCCGGGGGGGGTTGGGGACATGAGGGGGTCCCGGGGGGGTCTGGGGACATGAGGGGGTCCCGAGGGGGTCTGGGGACATGAGGGGGTCCCGGGGGGGTTTGGGGACATGAGGGGGTCCCGGGGGGGTCTGGGGACATGAGGGGGTCCCGGGGGGGTTTGGGGACATGAGGGGGTCCCGGGGGGGGTCTGAGGACCCTGTGTGGGTCTGGGGATCTCTGGGTTGGGTTTTGGGGTCTCTGGGTGGGTTTTGGGATCCCTGAGGGGGTCCCTGGGTGGGTGTTGGGTTTCCCTGGGTGGGTTTGGGGATCTCTGGGTTGGGTTTGGGGGTCCCTGGGTGGGTGTTGGGTTTCCCTGGGTGGGTTTGGGGGTCCCTGGGTGGGTTTGGGGGTTCCCAGAAGGGGCTGTGTGGTGACCCCCCCCCCATTTCAGCGCTGGCCGAGATCCTGAGCGTGAAGGACATCAGTGGGAGGAAACTGTTCTACGTGCACTACATCGACTGTGAGCGGGGACAGGGACACCGGGGGGGACACGGGGACACGGGGACACGGGGACAGGGACATGGGGAGAGCCCCCCGAGGTCCCCCTGCGGTCCCCAAGGCTGGGCTGGGGACACGCGGAGATCCCGGGGTGGGGGCAGCACTGCGGTGTCACCCCCGGTGTGTCCCCAGAAGTGTCCCCAAGGACGGGGACAGGGTCACAGGGGGTGGCACTGGGGTGGCACTGTCACCCTGTGTGTCCCCAGGGCTGGGTGAGGACATGGATGGACACCACTGGGGTGGCACTGTCGCCCCGTCTGTCCCCAGGGGTGGGTTGGGATGCAGATGGACACCGGGGTGGACACCGGGGTGGACACTGGGGTGGCACTGTCACCCCCCGGTGCCAGCCCAGCGTGTCCCTGCTGTCCCCAGTCAACAAGCGCCTGGACGAGTGGGTGACCCACGACCGGCTGGACCTGAAGAGGGTCCAGGTGCCCCGCAAGGAGGCCAAGACCCCCACCAAGAACGGCCTGCCCGGCTCCCGGCCCGGCTCCCCCGACAGGGACCCGGTGAGGACACGGGGACACGGCCAGGGGACGGGGGGGACACCTGGGGACAGCTGGGGACACGGGGGGGACACCTGGGGACAGCTGGGGACACGGCCAGGGGACGGGGGGGACAGCTGGGGACACGGGGGGGACACCTGGGGACATGGCAGGGACACCTGGGGACACCTGGGGACATGGCAGGGACACCTGGGGACATGGCGGGGACACCAGGAGGGGACACAGAGACCTGGTGAGGGACACGAGGACACGGAGGGGACACCTGGGACATGGAGGGACACCGGGTGACATCGAGGGGATGCCAGAGGGGCAGAGGGATCAGGGGACAGGGGACATGGAGGGGACAGGGGCTGAGGAGGGGAGTCCCTGGGGCGGTTTGGGGACAGCAGGGACAGAGTTTATGGACAGCAGGGACAGGGGACACGGGCAAGGGACACCAAGGGACAGTTTGGGGACAGCAGGGACAGAGTTTATGGACAGCAGGGACAGGGTTTGGGGACAGCAGGGACAGGGGACACGGGCGAGGGACGCCAAGGGACAGTTTGGGGACAGCAGGGACAGGTGACAGGGCAAGGACAGGGGACAGCCTTGGGGGCTGAGCACTGAGGGGACACACGGGGGGGACACAGGGGCCAGGCTGGGCACAGGGGACACGTGGAGCTGTTGGGGACAGACCTGGAGTCCCCAAACCCCCCTCGTGACAGGGGGACACTCATCCCCCATGGCAGAGACGTCCCCTGGGGGGTGGTGACATCCCCAGGACACACCCAGGGGCCACCCCGGACCCTTGGGGACATCCCCAGCCCCTTTAGGGGACCCTGGGGACATTTCCGACCCCTTTAAGGGACCTTGGGGACACCCTCGACCCCTTGGAGACACCTGCAGCTCCTTTAGGGGACCTTGGGGACATCCCCAGTCCCTCTCTGGGGACCTTGGGGACATCCTTGGGTCCTTGGGGACATCTCTGACCCCTTGGGGACAACTTGAACCCCTTTAAGGGACCCTGGGGACAGTTCTGACCCCTTGGGGACATCCCCGACCCCTCTAAGGGGACCTTGGGGACACCCCTGACCCCTTGGGGACATCCCCGACCCCTCTAAGGGGACCTTGGGGCCACCCCTGACCCCTTGGGGCCACCCCTGACCCCTTGGGGACATCCCCGACCCCTCTAAGGGGACTTTGGGGACACCCCTGACCCCTTGGGGACATCCCTGACCCCTCTAAGGGGACTTTGGGGCCACCCCTGACCCCTTGGGGACATCCCCGACCCCTCTAAGGGGACCTTGGGGCCACCCCTGACCCCTTGGGGCCACCCCTGACCCCTTGGGGACATCCCCGACCCCTCTAAGGGGACCTTGGGGCCACCCCTGACCCCTTGGGGCCACCCCTGACCCCTTGGGGACATCCCCGACCCCTCTAAAGGGACCTTGGGGCCACCCCGACCCCTTGGGGACACCACTGACCCCTGCAGGCCACCCCCGTCCCCCTTCAGGAGCCCTTGGGGCCACCAAGGGCCGTCCCCGGGGAGGGTCCCGGGGGTGGCGGGAGGGTCCCCGAGCCGCGGTGGCTTCGTCCCCCCCCCCGGGCGTCCCCCTAAACCCTCCTCTTCCTCCCGGCGCAGAGGAAGAGCCTGGAGCCGGCGCTGCCGGTGGCCCCCGCCAGCGGGAAGAGTTTGCCGGGGCCGCCGGGGCCACCGGGGCCACCGGGGCCAGCGGGGCCAGCGGGGCCGGGGCCCATCACGCTCCGCTTGCACCTGCCCAAGGAGAGCGAGGCCGAGCCCCCCCAGCGCCCCACGGTAACCCCCGATGGCCCCGGCGTCCCCAAATGTCACCAGGGTCCCCAAATGTCCCCAGATATCCCCAGGGTCCCCAAATGGCACCAAATGGCACCAGGGTCCTGAAACATCCCTAATGTCCTCAATGTCCCCAATGGCACCAAACGTCCCCAGGGTCCCCAAATGTCCCCAGGGTCCCCAAATGTCACCAGGGTCCCCCCCCAGCTGGCCCCAGAAGTGGTCCCTGGCAGGTCCCGGTTTTGTCACCTGTGGTGTCCCCAGAGGGTCCCTGGGGTGCCCCGGTCCCCCTCCCTGTCCCCACAGCTGGGTGTGCACTGAGCCTCCCCTTGGGCGTACTGGGATGGACTGGGAGGGACTGGGATGGACTGGGATGGACTGGGAGGGACTGGGGGGACTGGGATGGACTGGGGGGACTGGGAGGGACTGGGAGGGACTGGGGGACTGGGATGGACTGGGGGGACTGGGAGGGACTGGGAGGGACTGGGGGGACTGGGAGGGACTGGGAGGGACTGGGATGGACTGGGATGGATTGGGAGGGACTGGGGGCACTGGGGGGGACTGGGATGGATTGGGGGGGACTGGGATGGACTGGGATGGATTGGGAGGGACTGGTTTGAACTGGTTTGAACTGGTCCCAGAAGCGCAAGGTCGAGGTGGTGTCACCGGCCACGCCCGTCCCCGCTCCCACTGAGACCTCGCAGGCGTCCGTCTTCCCCCAGGTGAGCCCAGTAACACCAGTATGGCCCAGTAACACCAGTATGGGCCAGCAACACCAGTATGGGCCAGTAACACCAGTATGGCCCAGTAACACCAGTGTGGGCCAGTAACACCAGTGTGGGCCAGTAACACCAGTGTGGGCCAGTAACACCAGTGTGGCCCAGTAACACCAGTGTGGCCCAGTAACAACAGTATGGGCCAGTAACACCAGTGTGGCCCAGTAACACCAGTATGGGCCAGTAACACCAGTACGGCCCAGTAACACCAGTATGGGCCAGCAACAATACCAGTAACACACCAGTCTGGGTGGGTTTTGGGGGAGATTTTTTGGGGGGTTTGGGATGAATTTTGGGAAGTTTTGGGCTGAATTTTGGGGTTTTGAGGTGATTTTGGGCAGTTTTGGGGTGGATTTGGGGGTTTAGGGTGATTTCGGGCAGTTTCGGGATGATTTCGGGCAGGTTCGGGGTGGATTTGGGGTGAATTTTGAGGTGATTTGGGGCAGTTTCGGGATGATTTCGGGCAGATTTGGGGTGAATTTTGGGGTGGATTTGGGGCAGTTTCGGGATGATTTCGGGCAAGTTCGGGGTGGATTTGGGGTGAATTCTGGGGTGATTTCGGGCAGGTTCGGGGTGGATTTGGGGTGAATTTTGGGGTGATTTGGGGCAGTTTTGGGATGATTTCGGGCAGGTTCGGGGTGGATTTGGGGTGCATTTTGGGGTTGCAGGCGCTGACCCCCCTCTCCCCCCAGAACGGCTCCGCGCGCCGGGCGGTGGCGGCTCAGCCGGGCCGCAAGAGGAAGTCGGCCTGCCTGGGGACAGACGAGGTGGGGACACCTGGGGACACCTGGGGACACCTGGGGACACCTGGGGGGAGCGGCTGCCCCGCCCCGGGGCCGCCAGGGGGGAGGGGAGGAGGGAAATGGGCTCTGGGGCAGGGGAAACTGAGGCAGGGGAGGGGAAAATGGCCCGGAAACGAGGAAAAACCAGCTGGAAATGGGGAAACTGAGGCAGGAATTCGGGGGGGGGGGCCTAAAAATGGGGAAACTGAGGCAGAGTTGCAGAAAAGCACATTAAAAATGGGGAAACTGAGGCAGAGTTGCAGAAAAGCAACTTGAAATGGGGAAAATGTGAAAGAACGCCTGGAAAGTGAGGCAGAAGCAGAGAAAAAAATCAGCTGGAAATGGGGAAACTGAGGCGGGAAAGACAAAAATCAGCTGGAAATGAGGAAACTGAGGCAGGAATAGGGGAAAACCAGCCAAAAATGGGGAAACTGAGGCAGGAAAGACAAAAACCAGCTGTAAATGAGAAAAAACAAAGCCGGAAAGAAAAAAACCATCCGGAAATGGGGAAACTGAGGCAGGAATAGGGGAAAACCATCTGGAAATGGGGAAACTGAGGCAGGAATAGGGGAAAACCATCTGGAAATGGGGAAACTGAGGCAGGAATAGGGGAAAACCATCCGGAAATGGGGAAACTGAGGCAGGAAAGACAAAAACCATCCGGCAATGGGGAAAGGCAGGAGCAGGGAGGGTCCCCCCGTGCCCCAGGCCCTGACCCCGCTGTCCCCCCGGCCCAGGACTCGCAGGACTCGTCGGACGGGGCCCCCTCGGCCCCCCGGATGACCGGGAGCCTGGTGTCGGACCGCAGCCACGACGACATCGTGACGAGGATGAAGAACATCGAGTGCATCGAGCTGGGCCGGCACCGCCTCAAGCCCTGGTACTTCTCGCCGTACCCGCAGGAGCTGACGGGGCTGCCGGTGCTGTACCTGTGCGAGTTCTGCCTCAAGTACGGGCACAGCCTGCGCTGCCTGCAGAGACACCTGGTACGGGCTGGGGGGGATTTAGGAGGGTTTTAGGGGAGTATTAGGGGGGTTTGGGGGAGTTTCAGGGAGTTTGGGGGGGGTTGGGAGAGTTTTAGGGGAATTTGGGGGAGTATTGGGGGGGGTTGGGGGAGATTTGGTGGGGGTTTGGGGAAGTTTAGGGGGGTTTGGGGAAGTTTTAGGCAGTTTGGGGGAGATTTGGGGGAGATTTGGTGGGGTTTGGGGGGTTTTAGGGGGTTTAGGGGAGTATTAGGGGGGTTTGGGGAAGTTTAAAGGGGGTTTGTGGGGTTTTAGGGGGAGATTTGGTGGGGGTTTGGAGGGGCTTTCAGAGAGTTTCAGGGGGGTTTAGGGGAGTGTTAGGGGGATTTGGGGGAGTTTTAGGCAGTTTGGGGGAGATTTGGTGGGGGTTTGGGGAATTTAGAGGGGATTTGGAGGAGATTAGGGGGGTTTGGGAGAGTTTTAGGGGGGTTTAGGGCAGTTTGGGGGAGTGTTGGGGGGGTTGGGGGAGATTTGTTGGGGGTTTGGAGGAGGTTTGGGGGACTTTTAGGAGGGTTTGGGAGGCTTTACGGGAGTTTGGGGGAGTTTTAGTGGGGACTTGGGGGAGTTTTAGAGGACTTTGAGGGATTTGGGGATTTGGACACCTCCTTACCCCAAATTTCTTCCCCCTAAATTTTTCCCTTTTTCTCCCCTCTTCCCTCCTCGTTTTCCCTCCAATCTTCCCCTTCCACCCCCCAAAACCCCCCCAAAACCCCCTCAAACCCCCCCAAAACCCCCTCAAACCCCCCCAAAACCCCCTCAAACCCCCCCAAAACCCCTCCCCAGACCAAGTGTGACCTGCGGCACCCCCCTGGCAACGAGATTTACCGCAAGGGCACCATCTCCTTCTTCGAGATCGACGGCCGCAAGAACAAGGTGAGGGGGGCTCTGGGGGGGCCCTGGGGGGGGCTCTCCCCCATCCTGCACCCCGCTGACCCCCCGGGACCCCTCCCCAGAGCTATTCCCAGAACCTCTGCCTGCTGGCCAAGTGTTTCCTGGACCACAAGACCCTTTACTACGACACCGACCCCTTCCTCTTCTACGTCATGACCGAGTACGACTGCAAAGGTTTCCACATCGTGGGCTACTTCTCCAAGGTGGGGGGCTTGGGGGGCACTGGGAGAGGATTTGGGGGGGTCTAGGGCATATTTGGGGGGTCTAGGGGGGATTTGGGGGGGATTTGAGGGGGTCTGGGAGGATTTGGGGTGTTCAGAGGGATTGGATGGGAGCACTGAGGGATGAAGGGTGGGGAAGAGGGGAAAGAGGGGATTTGGGGAGGGTCTTGGGGGGTCCTAGAGGGGAAAAAGGGGTTTGGGGATTCCTGAGGGATTTTGGGAGCTCCATGAGAGATTTTGGGGTGATCCCAGGGGGTTTTGGGGTGGTTCCAGAGGGGTTTGTGGGATCCTGGGATTATCCTGGGGGTTTTGGGGTGGTCCCTGAGGATTTTGGGATCTGGTCCTGGGGGGTTTTGGGCGCAATCCCTGGGGGTTTTTGGGGCAGTCCCAGGGAGGTTTCTGGGGAGGTCCTGGGGTTTTTTTGGGGTGGTCCCTGAGGTTTTTGGGATCCAATCCCGGGGTTCCCTGCAGGAGAAGGAGTCGACTGAGGATTACAACGTGGCCTGCATCCTCACCCTGCCCCCGTACCAGCGCCGCGGCTACGGCAAGCTGCTCATCGAGTTCAGTCAGTGGCCAAACCCACCCAAACCCACCCCAGACCCACCCAAACCCACCCCAAACTCACCCAAACTCACCCAAACTCACCCCAAACCCACCCCAAACTCACCCAAACCCACCCCAGACCCACCCCAGACCCACCTAAACCCACCCAAACTCACCCCAAACCCACCCCAGACCCACCCCACCTGTCCCTCACCTGTCCCACCTGTCCCAGCCCTGTCCCCCCCGTGTCCCCGTCTCACCTGCGCGCTGTGGCTGTGCCGTGGCAGGTTACGAGCTCTCCAAGGTGGAGGGGAAGACGGGCACACCTGAGAAGCCGCTCTCGGACCTGGGGCTGCTCTCGTACCGCAGTTACTGGTCCCAGACCATCCTGGAGATCCTCATGGGGCTCAAGGCCGAGGCCGGCGAGCGGCCCCAGATCACCATCAAGTGAGACACGCCCCCTCCCGCGGCCACGCCCCTTTTGGGGCCACACCCCTGTGTGAAACCACACCCCTTTAGGCTCCTCCCCTCCACAAAGCTCCGCCCACCACAGCTATACCAAATATGGGCAGCTCACGCAAGCCACGCCCACTTACAGGAGACACGCCCCTTTTGGGCCACACCCTCTGAGGCTCCACCCACCACAAAGCCCCGCCCACCACAGAGGGCGTGGCAGCTCCTCAGGCCACACCCACCCTGCCAAAAAGCCACGCCCCCGAGCCTCCGCCCCATCTGCCAATCAAAGCTGATTGACAGCTGCTCTGGGCCACGCCCCCCAATTAATCACACCCACACGTGCCAGGCTCCGCCCCTCATCGCCCCAACCTCGGGGGGTCGGGTTGGTTTTGGGGGTCCGGGAGGGTCCTGGGGGGTTCCAGGGATTCGGGGGATTTTGGGGGATTTTGGGGGGTCCTGGGGGTGCAGGCTCCCCCCTCATTTCCCCCTCCCCCAGCGAGATCAGCGAGATCACGAGCATCAAGAAGGAGGACGTGATCTCCACCCTGCAGTACCTGAACCTCATCAACTACTACAAGGTGGGGCCCGCACACCTGGGGGGGCTTCGACACACCTGGGGGGGCTTCAACACACCTGGGGGGACCCTGACACACCTGGGGGGGGCTTCGACACACCTGGGGGGGCTTCGACACACCTGGGGGGGGATCCTGACACACCTGGGGGGGCTTCGACACACCTGGGGGGGGAACCCTGACACACCTGGGGGGGCTTCGACACACCTGGGGGGGGACCCTGACACACCTGGGGTGGACCGTGACACACCTGGGGGAGGCCGTAAAATTTTTCCCTGTGTCTCCCTTTGGACACCTGAGTGCCACACATGAATTTGTCCTTCACCTGTGCAGACCTGTACGGGGTCAGGACACCCTGACACACCTGTACAGGGTCAGTACACCCTGACACACCTGTCCGGGGTCAGTACACCCTGACACACCTGTCCAGGGTCAGTACACCCTGACACACCTGTCCAGGGTCAGTACACCCTGACACACCTGTCCGGGGTCAGTACACCCTGACACACCTGTCCAGGGTCAGTACACCCTGACACACCTGTGCACACCTGTATGGGGTCAGGACACCCTGACACACCTGTGCACACCTGTACAGGGTCAGGACACCCTGACACACCTGTACGGGGTCAGTACACCCTGACACACCTGTGCACACCTGTACGGGGTCAGGACACCCTGACACACCTGTACGGGGTCAGTACACCATGGCACACCTGTACGGGGTCAGTACACCATGGCACACCTGTGCACACCTGTCCGGGGTCAGGACACCCTGACACACCTGTGCACACCTGTCCAGGTTTAGGACACCCTGACACACCTGTCCAGGTTCAGGACACCCTGACACACCTGTGCACACCTGTATGGGGTCAGGACACCCTGACACACCTGTGCACACCTGTACGGGGTCAGTACACCCTGACACACCTGTACAGGGTCAGTACACCCTGACACACCTGTGCACACCTGTCCAGGGCCAGTACATCCTGACGCTGTCCGAGGACATCGTGGAGGGCCACGAGCGCGCCATGCTGAAGCGGCTGCTGCGCATCGACGCCAAGTGCCTGCACTTCACCCCCAAGGACTGGAGCAAGCGCGGCAAGTGGTGAGGCCACGCCCACCGGGACACGCCCTGCCACGCCCACCGGGACACGCCCCGCCACGCCCAGCCAGGCCACGCCCCCCCGGCGCCGCTCATTAATCGCCGCACAGCCCCGCCCACACCTGGCGCTGCAAATCCTTTATTGAGCGAGAAAGGGGCGGGGCGCTGCCAGGCCACACCCACTGGGCGTGGGCGTGTGTGGGTGTGGCTCTGGGAGGCTCCACCCACAGTGGGAGTGGCAGCGTTTGTGGGTGGAGCCTCTTGTGAACAGCATTTGGGTTTTTTTTTTTAATAAAGTGGGTGGGGCTTCCACAGGCTCCACCCATACTGGGAGGGGCTTCAGGCACTCTGGTTTAAATACGCCCCACCCACTGGGTGTGGCCAGCTATGTTAATGAGATGGGTGTGGGTGGTCATTCTGGGCGTGGCTCCAGTTGTGGGCGTGGCCTGTCATGGCTCCGCCTCCTCATCGCTGTCAGTCACGGGGGCGTGGAGCTGGGGGATGGGCAGGGTGAGGGGGTCTTGGGGAGCCCCAAATGTGCCCCCAAACCCCAAAGGTGACCCCAAACCCCAAAGGTGACCCCAGACCCCCCCCAAATGAGACCCCAAAACCCCCAAAATGTGACCCCAGACCCTAAATTGTGGACCTAGATCCCCAAATTGTGACCCCAGATCTCCAATGTACCCCCAGACCCCCCAAATATGCCCCCAAACCCTCCAAATGTGCCCCCAGACCCCCCAAATGTGCCCCTAGACCCCCCAAATGTGACTCCAGAACCACAAAATGTGACCCCAGACCCCCAAATGTGCCCCTAGACCCCCCAAATGTGCCCCCAGACCCCCAAATGTGCCCCTAGACCCCCCCAAATGTGACCCCAGACCCCCCAAATGTGACCCCAAACCCCCAAATGTGCCCCTAGACCCCCCAAATGTGACCCCAGACCCCCCAAATGTGCCCCCAAACCCCCAAATGTGCCCCTAGACCCCCCAAATGTGCCCCCAAACCCCCAAATGTGCCCCTAGACCCCCCAAATGTGCCCCTAGACCCCCCAAATGTGACCCGAGCCCCAAAATGTGACCGCAGACCCCCCAAATGTGCCCCCAGACCCCACAAATGTGCCCCTAGACCTCCCAAATGTGACTCCAGAACCCCAAAATGTGACCCCAGACCCCCAAATGTGCCCCTAGATCCCCCAAATGTGACCCCAGAGCCCCCAAATGTGCCCCTAGACCCCCCAAATGTGCCCCCAGATCCCCCAAATGTGCCCCCAGACCCCCCAAATGTGCCCCTAGACCCCCCAAATGTGCCCCTAGACCTCCCAAATGTGACTCCAGAGCCCCAAAATGTGACCGCAGACCCCCCAAATGTGCCCCCAGACCCCCCAAATGTGCCCCTAGACCCCCCAAATGTGACCCCAGAGCCCCAAAATGTGACCCCAGACCCCCCAAATGTGCCCCTTGACCCCCCAAATGTGACCCCAGAGCCCCAAAATATGACCCCAGACCCCCCCCAAATGTGACCCCAGAGCCCCAAAATGTGACCCCAGACCCCCCAAATGTGCCCCCAGCCCCCCCAAATGTGCCCCCAGCCCCGACTCACGGCCCGGGCGAGGGGTGCCCACTGCAGGGCCCGGGCCAGGCCCCGGCCGGGGGAGGGGGCAGCGTCGCCCCCCCAGTCCGTGATGGCCCCAAAGGTCCCAGTCAGCGTCACCCACCCGGCCTGGGGGCAAAGGGCAAAGGTCAGGGGGCAGAGGGGGCCGAGACCCCCCCGGGGCTGGGTAAAAGGGGGGGTCTGAGTCTCGGGGGGGGGGTCTCTGCCTCACCTGGGGGTCTCCGGGCTCCCCCCCCCGCAGCACGACCCCCGAGTAGCCGGGGGGCAGCGGCAGCTCCCGGCCCCCCAAGCGGCGCCCCCGGAACGAGGCCCAGAGCTCTGGGGGGGAGGAGAGTGAGATGGGCTGGGACCCCCAAAACCTCCTGGGGATCCCTAAACCGCCACGCGACCTCCAAACCCACCCGGGACCCCCAAACTTTCCAGAGACCCCCCGACCCCTCCCCGAGCTGCCGCACCCCAGGAACGCCCCCAGACCCAACCCCGCCCCCCCAGATTCCGCAGCCCCCTCAGGGCTCCCCCCAAAACTGAGCCCCCACCGGGCCCCCCGGGCCCTCACCGCCGCCGGAGCCGGGCCGGGCCCGCAGGAAGGCGGCCACGGGCGCGGGCCCGTCGTGCTGGACGCAGCAGGGCAGGAGCTGCACCGGGAGCGGCTCCGGGGCGGCGCCGGGCGGGACCCGGACCCGCGTCGCCATCACTGAGGGGATTGGGGAGGGAGGAAGTGGCGTCACGGCGCGCCGGAAGCAACATGGAGGCGTCCAGGAAGGCAGCAAAAATGGCGGCGCCCAATTTAGAGGAAAGATGGCGGCGCCGTACGGAAAGCGCGAGGAATGATGGGAGATGTAGTTCGGGGTTGGGGGAGCGTTCTGAGCACCCCCCACAAAGTCTGTTGGGACCCCTCCCCCCCCCAAAACCTTCAGGGACACCCCCAGCCCTATGGGAGCCCCCAGCCCCACAGGGAGCCCCCACAGAGCCGCCCCCCACCCCCGGCGGCCCCAGGGACCCCCCCGCAGGTCACCCCCCCCAAAGCAGACACGGATTTTGCGCTTTCCAGGGTTTTTATTTTGGGGAGGGGGGGGATTGCCATGTCCCGCCATGTCGCGACAGCTCAGGCCCCCCCCTCCCCCCGCAGCAGCCGCGCCAGCAGCAGGACCCCCCCCCAGCGCTGCCCCCGCACCCGCCCCTCCCCCCCCGGCCCCCCCCGCGCCAGGACCACCCCCCGGGGGGGGGCGGCGGCCGCCAGCGCCCATCCCCCCCCCGCGCCCCCCCCCACCGGCACCAGCAGCGGGGCGAGCGCGGGGGGAGGGGCGGCCGCGCCCCCCCCCAGCACCAGGAGGGTCTCGGGACCCCCCCCCAGCGACCCCCAGAGCGCCTCGAAGGCGCGGCGGGCGCGGGGGGGGGTCCCAGGCCGGGGGGAGGGCGAGGGGGCGCAGCCGGACCCCCAGGGGCAGCTCCAGCGGGGGGAGGGGCGCCAGGAAGGAGCCCCCTCCCCCTTTTTGGGGGGCAGCCCCCCCCGCGCTGAAAACCGCGGCGGCCTCGAGGGAGGGGGGCAGGTCCCGGGGGGGGGCGCAGGGTCAGGGTCAGCTCGGCCCCCCCGCGACCCCCGCCCAGCGCCGCCAGCGCCCCCTCGGCCCGACCCCCGCCCCCCCCCAGCAGCAGCTGCAGCGCCAGCACGGGGGGGGGCGGCCCCCCCATTTGGGGAGGGGTCCCCCCCATTTGGGGAGAGGTCCCCCCGATTTGGGGAGGGGTCCCCTCGGTTCGGGCCCCCCCCAGAGGCTCCAGGCGCAGCCGCAGGGGGAGGGGCACGGGCCGACCCCCCCCCTCCAGCAGAGCCGCCCCCCAACCCTCGGGGTCCTGGGGGGCCCCGGGGGGGGCGGGGAACGGGGGGGGGGGGCGCGGGGAGGCAGCGCAGGCGGCAGGGGGGGGCGCGGGCAGCAGGGAGGGGGGGCGCCCCCCCCGGTGCCCCCCCCGGGGCCGTTTTGGGGAGGGGGCGGAGGGGCGCAGCGCGGGGGGGGCCCCAAAACCGCGGCCAGTTTGGGGGGGCCCAGCGCGGCCGCCAGCGCCCGGTGGAGGCGGCCGCGGTCCCGCACGTCCGGGTCACCCCCCACCCCAAAATCGGGGGGTTGGTGGGGCGGGGGGGCGCAGAGCGGGACCCCCCCGTGGGGCAGGAGGGGGGCGGCGGCGCTCAGCACCCCCTGAGCCCCCCCCCAGCCGCCCCCCCCCGCCGCCAGCGCCCGCCGCAGGTACCGCCGCACCCCGGGGTGCGTTTGGGGGGGGTCCCGGGGTGCTCCCCCTCCGCGGGGGGGTCCCGCAGCACCTTCAGCACCCCCCGGAGCTGGGGGGTGCCCGGGGGGGGCGGGGGGGCGCGCAGGACCTGCGCCATCAAATCCCCCCCCAGGGTCCCCCCCAAAACCTTGGCGAGCTCCAGCAGGTGGGGGGGGGCGGCGGGGTGACCCCCCCCCAATAACCGCCGCGCCGCCGCCCCCAACTCCGCCCCGGGGACCCCCCCGCAGCGGCGGCCGTAGGCGAGCGCGGCCCGGCAGAACAGGACGGGGGGACCCCCCCCCAAAAACGCCACCAGCCCCCAGAGCCACTCGCGCCCCCCCGGCATTTTGGGGAGGGGGCTCCCCCCGCCGCAGATCGCCGCCGCCGCCTCGAAGCGGGGCAGGAACATCTCGGGGGGCTCCGCCGCCCCCCCCGGGCCCGGGAACAGCGCGGCCGCCAGGGCGGGGGGCAGCGGGGGGGGGGTTTTGGGGTCCCCGCCGGGGTTTTTGGGGTCCCCCCCCTGGAGGAGGCAGAGGAGGAAGAAGAGGCGCAGCGGGGGGGGGCAGCGCGGGGTGCAGCGCCAGCGCCGCCAACCGGGGCGCGACCCCCGCACCGAGACCCCCCCCCAGCAGCGCCGCCTGCACCGGGGCCGGTTCCGCCGCCGCCAGAACCGGGGGGGCCCCGGCAGCGCCCCCCCCGAACCGCGGGAGCTGCGCCCGAGCGGCCGGAGCGAGGCCGAAGGCTGCGCCTGGGGGGGGAGGGGAGGGGGCGTCAGGAATTTGGGGGGGGGATGGGGGGGGTTGAAATTGGGGGGTCCCACATGGGGAAGTCCTGGGGATCCCCCGGATTTCGGGGTGCTGGGGGGGGGTCGCTGGGATTTGGGGTCCCGGGGATTTGGGGTCCCGGGTGGGCTCTGGGATTTCGGGGGTCGCTGGGATTTGGGGTCCCGGGGGGCTCACGGGGATTTGGGGTCCCGGGTGGGCTCTGGGGTTTCGGGGGTCCCGGGGATTTGGGGTCCCGGGGATTTGGGGGTCGCTGGGATTTGGGGTCCCGGGGATTTGGGGGTCCCGGGGGTTTGGGGTCCCAGGGGTTTGGGGTCCCGGGGATTTGGGGGTCCCGGGTGGGCTCTGGGGTTTCGGGGGTCGCTGGGATTTGGGGTCGCTGGGATTTGGGGGTCCCGGGGATTTGGGGGTCCCGGGTGGGCTCTGGGGTTTCCGGGGTCCCGGGGATTTGGGGTCGCTGGGATTTGGGGTCGCTGGGATTTGGGGTCGCTGGGATTTGGGGTCCCGGGGATTTGGGGTCGCTGGGATTTGGGGTCCCGGGGATTTGGGGTCCCGGGGGGCTCTGGCACTCACCGGGATCCGGCCCCGCCTCTCCCCAGGGATCCGCTGGATCTGGGGGGGGAGGGGGAATCAGGGGGGCGGGGGGGGGCTGGGGGATCCCCCAACCCCCCCAGGGACGCTCCCAGTACCGTACTGGGATGTACTGGGATGCATTGGGATGTTACTGGGATGTTACTGGGATGCACTGGGATGTTACTGGGATGTTACTGGGATGCACTGGGATGTTACTGGGTGCACTGGGATGTTACTGGGTGCACTGGGATGTTACTGGGATGTTACTGGGATGTTACTGGCATGCACTGGGATATTACTGGGTGCACTGGGATGTTACTGGGATGTTACTGGGATGTTACTGGGATGCACTGGGATGTTACTGGGTGCACTGGGATGTTACTGGGATGTTACTGGGTGCACTGAGATGTTACTGGGATGCACTGGGATGTTATTGGGATGCACTGGGATGTTACTGGGATGCACTGGGATGCACTGGGATGCACTGGGATGCACTGGGATGTACTGGGACGTTACTGGGTGCACTGGGATGTTACTGGGTGCACTGGGATGTTACTGGGATGTTCCTGGGATGTACTGGGATGTTACTGGGTGCACTGGGGTGTTACTGGGATGTTACTGGGATGTTACTGGGAGCTACTGGGATGTTACTGGGTGCACTGGGATGTTACTGGGATGTTACTGGGATGTTACTGGGATGTTACTGAGTGCACTGGGGTGTTACTGGGATGTTACTGGGATGCACTGGGATGCACTGGGATGTACTGGGATGTTACTGGGTGCACTGGGGTGTTACTGGAATGTTACTGGGATGCACTGGGATGCACTGGGATGTACTGGGATGTTACTGGGTGCACTGGGGTGTTACTGGGATGTTACTGGGAGCTACTGGGATGTTACTGGGATGTTACTGGGATGTTACTGGGACCTTTCCCAGTTCCCCAGGACCCCTCCCAGCAGCACCGTGGGACCATCCCAGTACGGCGCTGGCACTTACTGGGATCTGTCCCAATTCCCTCCTGGGACCCCCCCAGTCCTTACTGGGACCCTCCCAACTCTTGCTGGGGCACTCTCAGTCCTTACTGGGAGCCCCAGAACCTTTACTGGAACCCACTGGGACCTTCCCAGTCCTTACTGGGAGCGACTGGGACCCTCCCAACTCTTACTGGGACCCCTCAGTCCTCACTGGGACCCCCCAATCCTTACTGGGACCCTTTCAGACTTTACTGGAACCCCCCTCCCAACTTGACTGGGACCCCCCAGTCCTTACTGGGATTGACTGGGACCTTCCCAGTCCTCACTGGGACCCCCCAGTCCTCACTGGGACCCCCCCCCAAATCTTACTGGGACCCCCCAGTCCTTACTGGGACCCCCCAGTCCTCACTGGGACCCCCCCCCCAAATCTTACTGGGACCCCCCAGTCCTTACTGGGACCCCCCAATCCTTACTGGGACCCCCTCGCCCCCCACTCACCCTCCGCCCGCAGCAGCACCAGCGGCTGCAGCGCGGGGCAGTCCCGGAGGCTCCCGGGGGTCCCGGTGGTCCCGGGGGTCCCGAGGCGCCGCAGCTCCCGCAGCACCTCCGCGGCCGCCGCCGGGGCCCCCCCCGCGGCCCCGGGGCGCTGCAGCAGCTCCGCCAGCGCCGCCAGCCCCGCCCGGTCCCCGCGGGCCGCCAGCGCCGTCACGGCCGCCAGCAGCAGCAGCCACCGGGGGGCGGCCCCGGGAGCCCCGGGGGGCTCGGCCAGCAGCGCCAGCAGAGCCCCCCCGGTGTCCCCCGCACCCTCCGGAGACCCCGGCCCGGCTCCCGGGGACCCCTCCCCGCACAGCGCCCGCGGGGACTCCAACAGCAGCAGCAGCAGCTCCGTCTGCGGGGGGGAATTGGGGAGGGATTTGGGGGGCTGGGGGGGTTTGGGGGGGCCCTGGGGGGGATTTGGGGGCTGGGAGAGGGAGGGGGGAGCCCCGGGTGGGATTTGGGGGGGCCCTGGGGGGGATTTGGGGGGTGGGAGAGGGAGGGGGGAGCCCCGGGATGGAGACACCCCCGCCCCAGTCTGCATTGGGGGGGAGCCCCAATGGCACCGGCAGGGAACGAAAATTCCCCGCAAGGGACCCCAAATCTCCTCAAAGGACCCCAAATCACACCGAGGGACCCGAAATCACACCCAGGGACCCCAAATCCCACCCGGGCACCCCAAATCACCCCCAGGGACCCCAAATCCCACCCGGGGACCCCAAATCACACCCAGGGACCCAAAATTCCACTCCAGCGTCCCCAGGTGACACCCAGGGGCCGAAAATCACACCCAGAGACCCCAAATCACCCCCAAAGACCCCAAATCCCCTCAAGGGACCCCAAATCACACCCCAAGATCTCAAATTCTCCTCAAGAGAATTTCCCTGGGCCAAATCACCCCCTGGGACCCCAAATTCCCCTCAAGGGACCCCAAATCAGCCCCAGGGACCCCAAATCCCCTCAGGGGACCCCAAATCCGCCCCCCCCCGGTGACCCCGGCCCCGCCCCGCCCGATGACGTAATGATGACGTACCTGCTGACGCGCCGAGGGGCGGGGCCGGCGCGGCGCGGGGGGCGCGAGCGCGGCCGCGAGCCGGGCCCAGGGACCCCCCCCCGCCATGGCCGCGAGGGCTGCCGGGAACGCCTGACGTCACTGACCCACCCCCCCCCCCGTGACGTCACACCCCCCGCTATGCCCGCGGGAACCGACAGCCGGGATGGGTGACGTCACGTCTTCGCGTAGTGACGTCAGAGGGCGCGGGGATGCCCACAGGCGGCTCCAGGGGTCCCCTATAGACCCCCCGAGCCCCCCCCGGGGACACCCTGACCCCTCCTGGGGACACCCTGACCCGTCCTGGGGACACCCTGACCATCTTTGGGGACACCCTGACCCCTCCTGGGGACACCCTGACCCCCCCGGGGACACCCTGACCCCCCCCTTGGTGACACCCTGACCATCTTTGGGGACACCCTGACCCCCTCCGGGGACACCCAAACCCCCCCTTGGGGACACCCTGACCCCCCCTTGGTGACACCCTGACCATCTTTGGGGAGACCCTGACCCCCCCGGGACACCCTGACCCCCCCGGGGACACCCTGACCCCCCCTGGGACACCCTGACCCCTCCTGGGGACACCCAAATCCCCCCTTGGGGACACCCTGACCATCTTTGGGGACACCCTGACCCCCCCGGGACACCCTGACCCCCCCGGGGACACCCTGACCCCCCCTGGGACACCCTGACCCCTCCTGGGGACACCCAAATCCCCCCTTGGGGACACCCTGACCATCTTTGGGGACACCCTGACCCCCCTCGGGGACACTCTGACCCCCCCCTGGGGACACCCTGACCATCTTTGGGGACACCCAAATCCCCCCTTGGGGACACCCTGACCCCCCCTTGGTGACACCCTGACCATCTTTGGGGACACCCTGACCCCCCCTGGGACACCCTGAGCATCTTTGGGGACACCCTGTCTCCCCCCGGGGACACACTGACCCCGCTTGGGAACACCTCCGGTGGCTGTCCCCGGTGTCCCCGGTGTCCCCATGTCCCGGTGTCACTCATGTCCCGGTGTCCCCATCCCCGGTGTCCCCCCCATGTCCCGGTGTCCCCCGTGTCCCGGTGTCCCCCCCATGTCCCGGTGTCCCCCGTGTCCCCACTCCCGCTGTCCCCGCCCCCGTGGCTGTCCCCGCGTCCCGCGTTGTCCCCGGGCCGGGGCGGGGGCTCCCCGTTATTTCCCAAGCGGCGCCCGCCCGACCGGCTCCGGCTGCGGCGCGGCCCGGCCCGACCGGCGGAACCGGTCCCGGGGCACCGCGGGGCGGGACGGGGACGCGCGGCGGGGCGGCACCGCCGGGACCGGCACGGCACGGCCGCGACGGCACCGGGACAGCAGCGCCGGGACGGGACCGGGACAGCAGCGCCGGGACCGGGACAGCACCGGGACGGGACCGGGACAGCAGCACCGGGACCGGGACAGCACCGGGACAGCAGCGCCGGCACCGGGACAGCAGCACCGGGACCGGGACAGCACCGGGACAGCAGCGCCGGGACCGGGACGGCACCGGGACAGCAGCACCGGGACAGCAGCACCGGGACCGGGACAGCACCTCTGGCACCGGGACGGGACCGGTACAGCACCACCGGGATAACAGAGCCGGGACCGGGATAACAGCCCCGGGACAGCCCCGGGACAGCGCAGCTGAGGGGGCGGCGCGGGGCTCGGGGCCGGTGACGGCGGAGCGGGATCGGGCACCGGGATCGGGCACCGGGACGGCTCCAAGCCCCGGGATCTGAGCCCAAATCCGGCGGGATCCGGCGGGATCGGGGATCCGGCACCAACCCCGGCCCGGGATCGGTGCCCGGGAGCTGAAATCAACCAAATCCACGGGCATTGGCACCAAAATCCACCAAAGATCCGGGATTTGGTGCTGGTGTTGACCAAATCCTCGGAATTGAGCGAAGATTTGGGATCCAGACCCAAAACCGAGCGAAGATTTGGGATCGGCACCAAAACCGAGTGAGGATTTGGGATCGGCACCAGAACCGAGCGAGGATTTGGGATCGGCACCAGAACCGAGCGAGGATTTGGGACCGGCTGGAGCTACTGACCAAATATTTGGGGTCTGTGATCAAAACTCCCCACGGATTTGGGATCGGCTGTGGATATTGACCAAACTTCCGGATCTGGGATCAAACCCAAGCGGGGAGCCGGGAATTGGCACCGCAGCCCCCGGGGATCGGAGCGGGGATCCCGCGGGGATCCGTCGGGATCGGGGAATCCATCGGGATCCATCAGGATCCATTTGGATCAGGGAATCCATCTTGATCCATCGGGATCTGTCGGGATCAGGGAATCCATCGGGATCAGGGATCCACCAGGATCCATCAGGATCCATCGGGATCAGGGAATCCATCGGGATCCATTTGGATCAGGGAATCCATCGGGATCAGGGAATCCATCGGGATCCATCGGGATCCATCAGGATCAGGGAATCCATCGGGATCCATCGGGATCAGGGAATCCATCGGGATCCATCGGGATCCGTCGGGATCAGGGAATAAATCAGGATCAGGGAATCCATCGGGATCCGGGAATCCATCGGGATCCGTTGGGATCCGTCGGGATCCATCGGGATCTGTCGGGATCCGTCGGGCCCCGCCATGCCGCGCGCGTTCCTGGTGAAGAAGCCGGTGGTGGCCACGGCCAAACGCAACTGGAGCGAACTCCCGGACGAGCAGCGGGCGGAGATCTACGTGCCCAGTACGGGGGAGGGGATCCGGGGGGGCAGGATCCGTCGGGAGACGGGATTTGGGGGGATTCAGGGATCTGGGGGGGGCAGGATCCACTGGGAGACGGGATTTGGGGGGCACAGGGATCTGGGGGGGGACTCAGGAATCCGTCGGGAGACGGGATTTGGGGGGATTCAGGGATCTGGGGGGGCAGGATCCGTTGGGAAATGGGATTTGGGGGGCACAGGGATCTGGGGGGGACTCAGGAATCCATCGGGAAATGGGATTTGAGGGGATTCAGGGATTTTGGGGGACTCAGAATTTGGGGATGACTCAGGGATTTAGGGGGACTCAGGAATTTGGGGGGACTCAGGTGTCTCTGGGGTCCCCAGAAGCCTGGGGGGCTGTGTCAGGAATTTGGGGGTTCCGGGTATTTAAGGGGATCCAGAATTTGGGGGGAGGCCTCAGGGTTTGAGGGGGACCCAGGAATTTGGGGGGGGGTCCCAGAAGTTTTGGAAGTGCGCAGGAGGACCAAAGAATTTAGGGGTAAACGGGAATTTTGGGGATCCAGGAGTTCCAGGGGCCCCGATTTTGGAGGGATCCCAGTTTTGGGGTGACCTCCGTCCCCCCAGGGGTGTCCCCTTAGTGACAGAGTTGGGGTTCAGCCCCAAAATCCCACCCAAACACTGGGACGGGGAGGGGGAATTTGGGGAGGATTTTGGGGTGCCCGGACCGCTTTTGGGGGGGGTTGGGGAGGATTTTGGGGTGCCTGGGGGTGATTTTAGGGGGTTTGGGCTGCCCGCCTGTGTCCCTTGGTGGGGGAGGGGATTTTTGGGTGTCGCCGGTGTCCCCCCGGGGGGGGTGGGTGGCGTCCCCCCCCGGGGCCCACGCGGGCGACACCCGCCGGAAACCCCTAATTTGGGGCGTAATTCGGGCTGTAATTTGGGGTGCCGCGGCCCGAGCCGTCCGACCGGTCGGGGGAACCCCAAAGGGCGGGGGAGGGGAGCGGGGGAGGGGCCCCCCAAATCCTCCTCCTGCCATGGGGGGGGGGGGGGGGGGGGCACATTTGGGGTGTCCCCATGGGGGGCTCCGATTTGGGGAAGGGGGGGGGGAGCACATTTGGGGCGTCCCGATTTTTTTGGTTTTTTTTTTTTTGGGGGGGGTGGTTTTTTGGGGGGATGCCATTTTGGGGGTTCAGGACCCCCCCTAAAACCGTGCCCCCCACCCCCCCAGTCTGCCTGGGGGGCTGCCCCCTGCGCAGGGACCCCGAGCCGGCCGTGGGGGAGGCCCCCGCGTCCCCCCTGGACATGACGCTGCCCCCCCGCGCCCCCCCCGGCCCCTTCCTGCACCCCAAGGGCAAGGTAAGGGGCACCCCAAATTTGGGGGGGGGGGGCGGAGAAGAGTGAGCTGGGGGTGCCCAAATTGGGGGGGGGGGCTGAGACTGTGGGTGCCCCATTAGCACAGAGGTCCCCAAATTGGGGGGGGGGGAAAGTCTCCAAAATTGGGGGGTCTCCAATTTGGGGGGGTCCCCAATAGCCCGGGGGGTCACCGAGGTGGGTTGGGGGTCCCCAAAATCAGAGGTTCCCAAGGGGGGCTGTCCCTCATGCCTGGGGGGGTCCCCAAAAATCACAGCTCTCCCCATAACTGGGGAGTCCCGAGGGGGGTTCCCCACCATGTGCCCCCCCCCCCATTTAACCCTTTCCTCCCCTCTCTCTGCAGGTCCCGTCCGGCCCTTTGGGCGCCCCCCTCCCACCGGGGCTGCCCCTGGCCGGGGGGGTCCCCGTGGGGGTCCCGGTGGCCGGGGGGGTCCCGGGGGGCTCCGAGCTCTTCTCGTGCCCCGTGTGCCACAAGAGTTTCGGGTTCCAGCGGATGCTGAACCGGCACCTCAAGTGCCACAGCGAAGTGAAGCGGCACCGCTGCCCCTACTGCGGGAAGGGCTTCAACGACACCTTCGACCTCAAGCGCCACGTCCGCACCCACACTGGTAACGGGATCGGGAACGGGAACGGGATTGGGAACGGGAACGGGATTGGGAACAGGAACGGGATTGGGAACGGGATTGGGAACGGGATTGGGAACGGGATTGGGAACAGGAACGGGATTGGGAACGGGAACGGGATTGGGAACGGGAACGGGATTGGGAATGGGGGATTGGGAACGGGATTGGGAACAGGAACGGGATTGGGAACGGGAATGGGATTGGGAACGGGGGGATTGGGAACAGGAATGGGGGGATTGGGGCAGGAAATGGTTCAGCGACACCTTCGGCCTCCAGCTCCATGTCCGCACTCACACCAGTAATGGGATTGGGAATTGGAATGGGAATGGGGACGGGAACGGGATTGGGAACGGGAACGGGATTGGGAACGGGATTGGGAACGGGAACGGGGGGATTGGGGCGGGAAATGGTTCAGCGACACCTTTGGCCTCCAGCTCCATGTCCGCACTCACACCAGTAATGGGATTGGGAATTGGAATGGGAATGGGGACGGGGTCGGGAACGGGGCAGGAATAGCGACAGGGACAAGGTTGGCACGGGGATGAGAAGAGGGACGGGCCCATGTCCCCGTGTCCCCTGCCTGGGTGTCCGTCCCCACAAGTGCTCGCTGTGTGACAAGGCCATGTCCCCCCATGTCCCCCCGTGTCCCCTGCCCAGGTGTCCGTCCCTACAAGTGCTCGCTGTGTGACAAGGCCATGTCCCCCATGTCCCCCCATGTCCCCTGCCCAGGTGTCCGTCCCTACAAGTGCTCGCTGTGTGACAAGGCCTTCACGCAGCGCTGCTCGCTGGAGTCGCACCTGCGCAAGATCCACGGCGTGGCGCAGCGCTACGGCTACAAGGAGCGGCGGGCCAAGCTCTACGTGTGCGAGGAGTGCGGCGGCACGGCCGACAGCCAGGACGCGCACCTGGCGCACCTGCGCCAGCGCCACCCCCACAGCCCCCTCCTGGCCAAGCTGGCCCGCAAGGCCGCGGCCGCGCCCGCCCCGCGCCCGGCCCCGCCCCGCGCCGCCCCGCCCCCCTAAGGGACCCCAAAATGGGGGGTGGGGGGCGGGGCGGCCACGCCCGGTTCGGGGGAGAGACGCCCATCCCGGGTGGGACACGCCCGTTTGAGGGGTGTGGCTGTTCGTGGCGGGACACGCCCACTGAGGGGAGGGACACGCCCACTGAGGGGAGGGACACGCCCATTTTGGGGTTAGGGGAGGGACGCACCCAGGTGGGACACGCCCACTTGGGGACGCAGCCACTGAGGGGAGGGACACGCCCGTTTTGGGCAGGGACACACCCACCTGGGGACACACCCACCTGGGGACACATCCAGTTATGTAGGGACACACCCACCTGGGGACACACCCACCTGGGGACACACCCACCAGGGAATGAAGACCACGCCCACTGGGATGGGACACGCTCCTTTTGTGGTGAGATGGGCGGGACTTTGGGGTTGAAGCCACGCCCACTTGGAGCGGAAGCCACGCCCACTCTGCCCCCTTTGGGAATTAAAGCCCCTCTGAGCTCGCTGACCACGCCCCCTCGTGCTCCGGCCACGCCCCTTGTGCTCAGGCCACGCCCCCTCCAAAAGGAGCCTTGGCCGCACCTCGGGGGTCGCCCGGGGGTCCCGGCAGCCCCTCCCCCACACCACCGGCACCGTTAGTCCAGTTTTTATTGCCCGGGACCCCCCAAAATGGGGGTGGGGGAGGGGGCGTGTGGGGGAGGGGCGGCCCCTCCCTCTCCAGTTCATTTCCCCCGCAGGGAGGGGGGAGGGGCGGCCCCTCCCCCCACAAAGTCCAGTTCAAGCCCCTCCTTTGGTCACAGGCTCCGCCCCCTCCCCTCCCCCACCCCGGGGGCGTTTGGCAAAAGCAGAGGGGGGGGGTGGGGGGGGTGGGGGAGGGGCGGCCACACCCACCCCAACCCTCCCCCCCCCAAAATCTTCCAGATCCCCCTAAGGCAGCTTGGCAGGGATGGGGGGAGGGTGGGGGGCTCCCCCCAAAGTGCGAGGGGACCCCCAAAAAATGGGGGGGGGGGATTTGGCCGGCTCAAAATCTGTGTGGGGCGGGGACAAAATCGGGGCGGGGGTGCCTTCAGGAAATGAAGCCCCCAAAATGGGGTGAAATGCCCAAAAAATGGATGGGGGGGGCACCCCAATTATTGGGTGTGTCTTCCCCACCCCAAAATGGATCGTACCAACCTAAAAAAGGACCCCCCAAAATTAGGGCTCCCCCCTCCCCAAAATTGAGGTGTCCCCCCAAAGCGGGACCCCCCCCTTCACGGGGCACCTCTTAATTAAGACGTGGCCCCCCCTAATTAAGACACGCCCCCCCATTAAGGCCTTGTTGTACCACCCACCCCCCACCAGGGGGCACCACCCACGGGGGGGGGAGGGGGGCTCTTAAAGGGGCCACGCCCCATTTTTGCGAGGTCGTTTCCGGGGGGAGTTTTGGGGTTAATTGGGGGGATTTTTTTGGGGGGAAACCCCCCAAAATCTACTCGATGACGGCGATGAGGTCTTCGCCCTCGAGGCTGAGCCCGGGGCGCACGTGGACCTTGGTGACCTTGCCCGCCACGGGCGCCGTCACCACGGTCTCCATCTTCATGGCGCTGAGGACGCACAGGGGGTCGCCCTTGGCCACCGTCGCCCCCTCCTTGACCCGGACCTCGACCACCTCCCCCGGCATCGGGGCCCCCACCTGGCCCTTGGCGCCCTTCTCAGCCTTGGGGTGCACGTGCATCTCCTGGGGGGAGGAACCGGAGGGGGCAGGGGTCAGGTGGGACACTCGGGGGTCACCTCGGGCCACCTCGTGTGCCCCAAAGTCATCCCCGTGTCCCCCAAAGTCATCCCTGCATCCCCCAGAGTCACCCCCGTGTCCCCAAAATCATCCCCGTGTCCCCCAAAGTCATCCCCGTGTCCCCCAAAGTCACCCCCGTGTCCCTTCAAACTCCCTCAGACCCCCCTGAAGCTGCTCCGACCCCTCCAAAACTCCCCCAAAAACTTCCTCAGAGCCCTGAAAAAAAATCCAGGACTCACCAAAATCGCCTCAGAATCCCTAAAATCCACTCAGACTCCCTCAAATCCCCTCAGACACCTCCAAAATCACCTCAAGGCCCCATAACTCTCCCCAAATCACCTCAAACCCCTACGAATTCCCCCCAAACTCTCCCCAAATCCCTCCCAAACTCCCCTCAAACCTTCCCAAATCCCCCCACACCCCTCAAATCCCTCTCAAACCCCCTCCAGACCCTCCCAAAATCTCCCCAGATCCCCCAAAACGCCCCTCAAATCCCCCCAAATTCCCCCTAAATCCCCCCAAATCACCCAAACTCCCCCAAAATCCCCCCCAAACTGTCCCAAACCCCCTGAAACTCCCCAAAACCCCCCCGACCTTGAGCGCCTGCGTGTCTCGGACCAGGATGGATCTCAGCTGCCCGTTGAGCTCAAAGAAAACCTCGCGCTGCCCGGCCGCGTTCAGGTCCCCGAGCGCCAGCGCCTTGATGTGCAGCGTCTTCCCCCGCTCCAGCTCCACCTGAGAGTAAATGGGGTGTAACTGCGGTGTAAGGGTGTCCAGGGGTGTGTAACTGGTGTGTAATTGGTGTGTAACTGCTGTGTAACTGCTGCGTAAAGGATGTGCAGTGTGTGTAATTGGTGTGTAATTGGTGTGTAACTGCTGTGTAAAGGATGTGCAGTGTGTGTAATTGGTGTGTAATTGGTGTGTAACTGCTGTGTAACTGCTGTGTAAGGGATGTGCAGGATCTCACCACGTTTGCACCGGGCTGGGCAAGGAGTTCCAGGCGTGCACAGGTCCCAGTCCCTCCCAGTCCCTCCCAGTGCCCCCCAGTCCCTCCCAGTGCCCCCCAGTGCCCCCCAGCACCCCCAGTGCCCCTCACCTCAAACTCCTCGGCGATGGCGGGCCCCTCGAGGAAGAGGCGGGTGCCCAGGCAGGCCACGGGCCCGAAGGTGCTGCTGAAGGCGCGGAACTCCTCGTAGACTTTGGGGTAGAGCGCGGCCGAGAGCAGCTCCTCGGGGCTGGGGGGGGCCCCGTGCCGCTCCTCCAGCTCCCGGCCCAGCGCCTCGAAGTCCAGGGGGGGCAGCGACGCCCCCGGGCGCCCCTCGACCCGCGGGAGATCCTTCAGCACCTGCGGGCAGGGGCGTGAAATGGGGTGGGGAAGATGGAAATGGGGTGGGGGGAACAATGGAAATGGGATGGGGGGCTTGAAATGGGGTGGGGGACACCAGGGAAATGGGGTGGGGGAGATGGAAATGGGGTGGGGGACACCAGGGAAATGGGGTGGGGGAGATGGAAATGGGGTGGGGGGCACCACGGAAATGGGACAGTCCCTCCCAGTTCCCCCCCAGTTCCCTCCCAGTCCCTCCCAGTGCTCCCAGTTTGGTTTCAGGCTGTTCTCAGTTTATCCCAGTTCCCTCCCAGTCCCCTCTCAGTCCCTCCCAGTCCCTTCCAGTGCCATCCCACTCCTCTCCCAGTCCCTCCCATTCCTCTCCCAGTCCTTCCCAGTTGCTCCCAGTCCCTCCCAGTGCATCCCCCTCCCCTCCCAGTCCCCCCCAGTGCCCTCAGCGCCCCCGGGACGCACACGGGAGCGGAAGGGCTCGGGGAAGCCGCCCGGGGGCACCCCGATGTGGCCCTGCAGGAACTCCACCACGCTGCGGGGGAAGGAGAGCTCGTCCGCCCGCGCCTCGGCCTCCTGGCGGGACAGCCCGTTCTGCACCAGGAACTGCGCCAGGTCCCCCACCACCTTCGAGGTCGGCGTCACCTGCGGGGTCACCACAGGGTCACGGCGGGGTCACCACAGGGTCAGGGCAGAGTCACGGCGGGGTCACCACGGGGCACCGCAGAGTCACGGCGGGGTCACCACGGGGCACCGCAGAGTCACGGCGGGGTCACCACAGGGGCTCCTCGGGAGAACCTCGGGGTCACCTCACACTCAACTCATGGAGCAACTTGGGGTCACCTCATGGGTCAGCTCTTGGGTCAGTGCGGGGGGAACTTCTTGGGTGAAGTGTCAGGGTCATCTTAGGGGTCACCTCATCGATCATCTTATGGGTCAGTGCGTTGGGAACCTCTTGGGTGAGCTCTTGGGGTCATCTCAGGGGTCATCTCATTTTAGGGGTCATCTCATCTTAGGGGTCATCTCATGGGTCAGCATGGGGGGACCCTCCTGGAGCACCCCGGGGGTCACCACATGACCACCCTGGGTGGGACACCCACCCATAGAGACCACCCACCCCACAGAAATCCTCCACGCCACGGACACCACCTGCCCCACAGAGGCCTTCTCTTGGAGACCACCTACCCCATGGCCATCACCCACCCCACGGCCACCACCCCATGGCCATCCCCCCACGGCCACCACCCACCCCATGGACACCCTCCTGTGGAGGCCCCACAGAGCCCCCAGGGCCACCCCACCTTGATGAGGTCCCCGAGCAGCTTGTTGGCCTCGGTGTAGGCCTTCTTGACCTCCTTGAACTTGTGTCCCAGCCCCATGGCGTGGGCCTGGAAGTGCAGGTTGGTGTACTGCCCGCCCGGGATCTCGTTCTCGTAGACGTCGGCGTTGCCGGACTTCATGGTGGCCGTGCAGTCGAAGGCGGCGTAGAGGCCCCGCGCCGCCTCCCAGTACTCGCTGTACTCAAAGACGCGCTCCAGGTCGATGCCTGGGGACAGGGGACACGTGGGGACACCGCGGGGACACCGCGGGGGTGTGGTGTGGGGGGCATCATGGATTGGGAATGAAGTTCTGGCTCTGGTGGCGCCTCCACGACCATTGTGGCTCCTCAAAGCCCTGATGACACCTCCAAACCTTTGGTGACACCTCAAGCCCTCATTGTCCCCCCAGTTCCTGGAATCTCCTCCAATTCTTGGTGTCCCTCACCCTCGTTGTCCTTGGTGACATCTCAAACCCTCGGTGTCGCCTCAAACCCCCACTGTTCCCTTCAACCCTTGGTGACATCTCAAAACCCTCGCTGTCCCTCAAACTGCAATTGTCCCCTTCAGCCCCTGGGGACTTCACAGACTCTTGGTGGTACCTTGAACCCTCATTGTCCCTTTCAACCCTTGGTGTCCCTCCAAACCCTCAATGTCACCTCAAACCCTGGGTGTCATCCCAAACCCTTGGTGTCACCTCAAACTCTCAGCGTCACCCCAACCCCTGGGTGTCACCCCAAACCCTGGGTGTCCCTCCAAGCCCTGCTGTCCCCTCCCCCCCGCTGTCCCCACCTGTGTCCAGCGGGGTCCCTCGGGCGCAGGCCACCACGGCGCCCATGCTGGGCTGGGAGGTCATGCCGGACATGGCGTCCACGGCCACATCCACCACGTCGGCGCCGGCCTGGGCGGCCGCCAGCATGGAGGCCACGCCGGCGCCGGCCGTGTCGTGGGTGTGCACGTGCAGGGGCACCTCGGGGTGCTGCTCCCGCAGGGCCCCCACCAGCAGCCGGGCAGCCGCGGGGGTCAGCAGCCCCGCCATGTCCTGGGGAGGGGACACAGGGGTCATGGGGGGCACAGGGGGTCATGGG